AACTTTTCGAGATTTTCTATTTATAGCTGTTTTAAAACAGATTTAGGCAGACTCTTTGGTATACTTATATTAAGATTTTTGTAATTTATCCCTATATGATCGCTATGACAATAACCCCCCAAATCAATCCGAACGTTCCTTTTGTGGTATGGAACCTTGTGCTATAATTTCAGTGAGATTCATACGCATATACTCAAGTTATTGTCTGTGAACCAAAATGACTTTGGACGACGAAGCAGACATCGCCATAACATAAAACGAACGCAAAAATTTTGCCGTCGTATAAAAACTATATATTTGGATTAAATTTTATATTTCAGAAGATCTGGATACTTCATACCTTGTATGTAGTTGCGTTATTTTAGGAAGTTTCTGTCATTCATAGTATCATTGACCTCGACCTCATTTTCATGGTTCAGCGACTGCTTGAAATGTTTTAATAGTTTTTTGTCATGTGAAATACTCATTTATTATGAGTAATAGGATAACAATATTTGGTATATATCATACTAGCTTGCATATTGAAGGTCTACTTGTCTGTTAGACCGGGTTCACCTTACCTCAACCTCATTTCATGGATCAGAGGTCAACATTGTTAGGTGTATGAAGTAATTGGAAGGTGAACATGTCTATCTGGCAGGTTTCATCTGACCTTGACCGTATTTTCATGGTTCATTGGTCAATGTTAAGTTTTCAGTTTTGTCTGTTTATCGAATACTATAAGCAATAGGTCAACTATATTTGTTGTATGGAATGATTGTAAGGTGAACATGTCTGTCTGGCAGGGTTTATTTGACCTTAACCTCATTTTCATAGTCCATTAGTCAATGTTAAGTTTTCATGGATGGGTCTATTTCTCATATTCTTTAAGCAGTAGGTCAACTATATCTTGTGTATGGAATGATTGCTTGGTGCTCTTGTCTGTCTGGTCGTGTTCATCTGACTTTGACCTCATTTTTATGGGTCATTGGTCAGTTTTGGTAATTTGGTCTATTTCTCAGATACAATGAGCAATAAGTGAACTCTATTTGGTGTATGGAGTGATTGTTTAGTGTACATTGCTGTTTGATAGGGTTCATCAGACCTTGACCTCATCTATGGAACAGTGATAATGTTATTTTTATGTGATATTTGTATTAAATCAAATTGAGAATGGAAAAACCTTCATATTACAGATGCACTCATGTCTCTTTTAAAAGTTTCACATTTTGTTATTCAAGGGCATTTTATAGTTTACTGTACAGTATTTTTAGTTTAGTTGTATGTCAGAAACATACTGATGTAAATAAGGATACACATCAAATGAACATTGGATAACAATTGACTGAACTATTTGAATGAGACCTTAAGGGAAGTGATTAGGGTTCTTTAAATAGCTTTAAAAGCTAACAATTAAAAACTGGTTTAATTAATTTCAAGGACATTAACTCCTATAAGGAGGCAATGGACCATTTCCATTATGATTACTTTTCTGTAGATCTTGTAGTGCTGAACATTTTAACTGTTTTAAGCTTATGCCTATCTATTATAATTTCTACGGGCCTCAGTGGCCAAGTGGTCTAATTAAAGACAACAGTAGTATACCGCTGTTCGAAACTCATAAATCGATAGAGATAAAAACAAATCCGGGTTACAAACTAAAACTGAGGGAAACGCATCAAATATAAGAGGAGAACAACGACACAACAAAAACACAACATTAAAATGTAACACACACAGAAACGAACTATAATATAACAATGGCCATTTTCCTGACTTGTTCTAAGTAGTGGAACTACTGTACCACTAGCCTGTCAACACTGAGGTTGTAAGTTCGAATCCTGCACATGGCAGGTGCACTTGACTCCAATCTGCATTGCTAAGTTAAGTTAGGTTAATTAATGTTAAGTTTATGTGATACTTTAAGTAACGCTTTATATTTAGGACTATCAACATAAAATCAATGGTCAGTAAAGAAGGCGAAACATTTCAGCATGTGCACTATTCTTGTGTTTTGGTCTGTTTTTCTTAAATTATTACCAATAGGTCAACTATATTTGTTGTATGGAATGATTGTAAGGTGTATATGTCTGTCTGGCAGGTATCATCTGACCTTGACCTCATTTTCATGGTTAAGTTTGTTTCTTAGATACTATAAGCAAACGTTCAACTATATTTAATGCATAGATTGATTGTTAGGTGGTACATGTCTGTCTGGCATGGTTCATCTGACCTTGACCTTATTTTCATGGTTCATTGGTCAATGTTTAGTTTTCCTGTTTAAGTCTGTTTCTTAGAAACTATAAGCAATAGGTCAACTATATTTGGTGTATTGAATGATTGTAAGGTGTACATGTATTTCCGGTTTGGTTTATCTGATTTTGATCTCATTTTCTTGGATCATGTTAAGTTTATGTGATACTTTTAGTAAAGCTTTATATTTAGGACTATCAACATTAAATCAATGGTCAGTAAAGAAGGCGAGACATTTCAGTGTGCACACTCTTGTATTATTTAAAGTTTCTATCTTTAATAGTTTTGAAGATAATAACCAATAACTGTGAAATCAAACAAAAAAATATAAATTACTTCGCCGAGCGCAGCTGGATACGGCCGCAGAGGTCCAACCCTGAACAGTTGGGGCAAAAATGTACACAATATTCGTGCTTGATGCAGGTCTGAATTTGGATTGTAATTCAATATTTGACACATAATAGGTTTCTGACACAGAATAACTGTAGTCAAGGAACTTAGAATTGGTTATATGATTTGAATTTATATTCAATTTTTTGCAATACACTATGCTGTTGCGAATTGACCTCCCCCCTCCAAAAAAAAAAAAAATTTACCCCCCTTCTTTTTCAAAATTTTTTTTTTACCCCCCCCCCCCCCATTTAAAAAAAAAAAATATTTGAAGAAATTTTCTTTTTGATTTCTGAAATCTTGAGAAAAAATTGTCCCCAACCCCCCCCCCCCCCCCCTTTCCAAAAAAAATTCTTTCCCTCAAGATATGGTCATGATCTCAATTCAAATTTCCAATGGAGTTTGCAACCATAATAACCCATTTAAATACATCATAAAAGTCTTAAAATAGAAAATGACATACATAATCATGGCTAAAACTAATATACCTTAATCAGCATTTTTAAAATTATTAAAATATTAACTTCTAAAAATAAATTGACAGCTAATCACCTCAAGACAATAAAACATTTCTTTATACATAATTTAAAAGCAGTGTAAGTGAGGTAATTCAAACACAACATTGTACTTAAGTAATTGTCCATTAACCAGGACACCCTTGTTTTTTCTCACTTTTTTGCCCCTAATTCCTTAACGGTTTGAGCCATAACACCCCAAAGCAAATCCTAACCATCCCTTTGTGGTATGGAAACTTGTGGTATAATTTCAGAGAGATCCATACACCGTTCCACAAGTTATTGTCTGGAAACTAGAAAAATGCTAATTTGGGCCCCTTTTTGGCCCCTAATTCCTAAACTGTTGGGACCATAACCCCCAAAATCAATCCCAACCTTACTTTTGTGGTTATAAACCTTGAGTTTAAATTTTATAGATTTCTATTTACTAATACTAAAGTTATTATCCGGAAACCTAATGTCTTCGGCTGATGCTGACTACGTGATACCAATATACGACTGCAAAATTTTTTGCAGTCATATAACAAGGGACATTTCAGGGCCAATTACTAAATAATGAGAAGTCTGATGTTTTCTGAAAATTTTTGAACAGATAACCTGATGTAATTTTTTCTTTAGTGTCAGATTTGCTCTAACTGCTTTAGTTGCCAAAAATGCAGTTTACTCCTATGTTCTAGTCAAGCCACATGGTCTGTGTTTGTTGCTGGACCAAATCCTGGATATAATTTTTAAACTAGATTCCCCAAGGAACATTCAACATTTGGCTGCTGTCCATAGTTTCAGAGAAGAAGATTTTTTCAAATGTTTACAATGACTGAAGATGGCAAAAGCTCACTTGACCCTCTGGGCCATGCGAGTTAAAATGGGATAACAGGAATCACAAAATATACTTGACAGTACAACAGACCATATCAACAACCAACAACCAACTCCTTACAAAATATACTTGACAGTACAACAGACCATATCAACCACCAACAACCAACTCCTTACAAAATATACTTGACAGTACAACAGACCATATCAACAACCAACAACCAACTCCTTACAAAATATACTTGACAGTACAACAGACCATATCAACCACCAACAACCAACTCCTTACAAAATATACTTGACAGTACAACAGACCATATCAACAACCAACAACCACCTTACAAAGATCTACTTGTTCCAAAATGGTTTAAATAGACTTGGAATTTAACTTCAGTGATAAACAAAGATGCGATCATAAAGTTTCTGACATCTGAACATGGACTTTTTAACCCGAGAATGTAGTAATTTCTATCTTTTACATTTAAATGTTTGGTGAACCATGTGACCAGGGTCAAAACCTTAATTTTGCATACAACTCAAAAAGATCATAATGAAGTAAACAAATCTTAATTGTGAACTACCATTACCAAAACTTCTACCTGATAAGGGGCAGACTGACAGACCAGCGAACATATTGACCCTTAACTGTTTTTGATGGCACATAACAGGTATATCCAATACTGTACTTTCATTGGTATTTTTGGGCGCACTCAAAAGATGAAATTTCTTTGTCGTTTGAAGTGGGATGCCGTAAAGGAATTTGTAAAATATAGGACGTAATAATCTGATGCTTATCAGCTAGAAGAAAAAATAACTTCATTTAGCTTTTACATCACAATCCTGTTGCACTAAGAAATGCACATAAAAATGGTCTGCTTGGTCTTTAAGTCGTAGAAAGTATTTATATCCATAACGCTTCAATATAAATTATGTGCCTTGTAACTCACAACCTCAATCAACTGCGCAAGTCAAATTTCTACCTCATTAATGACCACAGCTTGACTTCCAGTACTTCAGCTTTGAAGGTTTTATTTTTTTTAAAGCTCATTCTTTTCTAAATATTTTATTATATCAAACAACAATTAATCAATACATATTGCACATATTTGTTTCTCTCCATGGAATGTATCACAGTAAGTAGAGAAACCTATAACCATTCCTATGTTCCAGCTTACAAGCTGATTGATAATGAAGAGTTAACTTTCACAAAAATGTCAACAGTCCTTCAATCTTGAACCATCATTGATCTTACAGTGTTCTCAAAAGATCTGTAAAAGAAAAGAAATAATATAAATAAGAGGATTTTTAAAAATATTAGTAGGGGTATATTTTCACTGCTACCTTATTGATATTTTTTCCTGAAGTGTGTACCTTCATAATTATTTGGATCTTTGGAGGTGAGTACATATGTACTAGCTTTGAAGTTATATTTTCTCCAGTTTGATACCTGCATACTTACTTTGATGATATATATTTTCAAGTGAATCTTTACACTAAATAAATTTTTGTTTTGCGAATGCTTTTTTCACATTGGTTCATATTCACAATTTTCATACTTTGTCTATTCATATAACAAATATTTATATTTGTGTTATTTTTCTACTTGCAAAAAATAAATCACTCACAAATATGGTTTACAATATATATTCCAGGTGTGTACTTACTTAAATCTTATATTGTCATCACATGTGTATGACACTTACTTTGATGTTATATTTACTCTAGATGGATACTTACTTTTAATGTTATATTTTCACCAGTGAACGTGTGTACTTACTTTGATGTTATATTTTCTCTAGGTATGTACTCACTTTGATGTTATATGTTCTCTAGTTATGTACTTACTCTGATGTTATATTTTCACCAGTGAACGTGTGTACTTACTCTGATGTTATATTTTCTCCAGGTATGTACTTACTCTGATGTTATATATTCTCCAGGTATGTACTTATTTGATGTTATATTTTCTCCAGGTATGTACTTTCTTTGATGTTATATGTTCTCTAGGTATGTACTTACTTTGTTATATTTTCTCCAGGTATGTACTTACTCTGATGTTACATGTTCTCCAGGTATGTACTTACTCTGTTATATGTTCTCCAGGTATGTACTTACTCTGATGTTATATGTTCTCCAGGTATGTACTTACTGTGATGTTATATGTTCTCCAGGTATGTACTTATTCTGATGTTATATTTTCACCAGGTATGTACTTACTCTGATGTTATATGTTCTCCAGGTATGTACCGTACTTACTCTGATGTTATATTTTCACCAGGTATGTACTTACTTTAATGTTATATTTTCTCCAGGTGAGTAATTACTTTGCGGTTATATTTTCTCCAGGTATGTACTTTATACTTTGATGTTATATTTTTTCAGGTGTGTACTGACTTTGATGTTATATGTTCTCTAAATATGTACTTACTTTGATGTTATATTTTCTCCAGGTGTGTACTTACTTTGATGTTATATTTTCACCAGGTATGTACTTACTTTGATGTTATATTTTCTCCAGGTGTATAAAATGGATTACATATCATGTCAACATAGGCATTATGCAACTTTCTAAACATCTGAAAGAAAGTAAAACAAAATCACTCAATGGCTACAGAATTTAAGAACAATGTATGTAAGCCTGAACCCAAGTGAGTATTTTTTATATAAGAGTTTGGAACATTCACAGTGGTAGCAATACTCACCAGTAAATTGCTTTCAACCTTTGTAGCATATTCTTTGTTTTGAAAAGATTGAAACTGACAAAAATGAAGACAATAAAACACTGCAATGGTTAGAGCCATGAATTTGCTTAAGAAAGTAAAAATGGTATCATTGAAAACAGGTACAGTGTAATCAACAGAGAAGACATATGTATTCCTTTGATACCACATTAGTATTAAAAGGTTGGTATGAAAAAGTTCTACAAATGATTCTTTATACACAATCATCCCAGTGCAGTTTAAATAACTTCTGCAGCTTTGGAAAAGATAAGGAATCATCAGCAAAGGAAAATATGATGGTTCTAAAAAAGTGTTTTAAAAATTGTTTCACTTCTTACTGGAATTACTAATGTTTTGGAAAACTATTGCTACAGATTCTAGACAAAATATGGTGGAAAACTGTCTCATTGGCAATCATACCAGATCTACTTATTTCTATATGGTCTTTATTGAAGACCTTCGCCATTTTGAATTATTTATAAACATGAAGAACAGCGATTAAAGTGTTGTTACTTTGGTATACAGATATTTCCCAGTATTATCTATCATAGTTTCTGAAAAAAATTCACTTGAAAAAAGTTTGTACGCTTGATGACCAGACTTTTTTCTTCCTCAATGCATGACCTACATTTTCATTTTCGGAGGTTGACAGGTATGATTTCAGGACACTATTGTTTATGTACATCCACCCAAAATTATTGCTTTTCTACATTGAGATTGATATGATGGCACAGTGTCCACTTATTCTTTCCTACAAATCTACAAACACTATTTAAAATGGATTTTATTAAATACTCTAGATTTGTTTTTTACCTGCTTACACAAATTCCTTGAAAATCAACAAACTAAGAGAAATGGTGAATGTACAAATTATTGTTATAATAAATGGGGAATGTGTCCATGGGACAAAGATGATGCCCCCGCTTGCATATTATGTTATAAAGAGACATTACTCAAGAAATATAAAAGTGACGCTACCCAAATTTGTACTTGATCTGTGTTTTGTGGTCATAAGCATTGTGTATAAGTTTCATATCATTTAGTTGAGGCAAACTTAAGTGAGAGAACTGAAACAAAATTCAGCAATTTTTCCATTTGTAAAGGGGCATAACTCTAGAACAGTAAAAGTGACGCCACCAAAATTCGAACTTATCTGTGCTTTGTGGTAATAAGCATTGTGTATAAGTTTCATAACATTTGGTTGAGGCAAACTGAAGTAAGAGAACAGAAACGAATATTTTAGCAATTTTTCCATTTGTAAAGGGCATAACTCTAGAATAGTAAAAGTGACGCCACCAAAATTCAAACTTGATCTGTGTTTTGTGGTAATAAGCATTGTGTATAAGTTTCATAACATTTGGTAGAGGCAAACTAAAGTTAGAGAACGGAAATGAAAATTCAGCAATTTTTCCATTTGTAAAGGGACATTTCTCTAGAACGGTAAAAGTGACACCACCAAAATTCAAACTTGATCTGTGTTTTGTGATAATAAGCATTGTGTATAAGTTTCATAACATTTGGTTGAGGCAAACTAAAGTAAGAGAACGGAAACCAAAAATTCAGCAATTTTTCCATTTGTAAAGGGGAATAACTCTAGAACGGTAAATGCGACCCCACCAAAATTCAATAGTGATCTGTGTTTTGTGGTAATAAGCATTGTGTATAAGTTTTAGAACATTTGGTTGAGGCAAACTAAAGTAAGAGAACGGAAACGAAAAATTCAGCAATTTTTCCATTTGTAAAGGGACATAACTCTAGAATGGTAAAAGTGATACCACCAAAATTCAAATTGATCTGTGTTTTGTGGTAATAAGCATTGTGTATAAGTTTTAGAACATTTGGTTGAGGCAAACTTAAGTTAGAGAACGGAAACCACTCCGCTACAACGGGGGCATAAAAACCCAGGAGATAAACATTTATTTAAAAGATATACACTTTACTTTTTCATTAAAGAAGAGGGCATAGGTTAGCAGCCTGTAATTCAGTGGTTATCATTGGTTGTTGTCTACTGTACTTGCTTTGTGTTTATTGTTTTAAATACAAATCAGGATGTTGGTTTTCTTTTTGGAATTGTGTCACATTTGGACATGCCAGGGCTTTTTATATCTTACTATACTGTATAGGTTTTGCTCATTGTTGAAGGTGGTGACCTATAGTTGTTTACATTTGTTTCCTTTGGTCCCTGTTGGATAGTTGTCTCAATGGTAACCATACCAGATCTCCTTATTGTTATATACATGTAGCTGTATCAGGGATACCATGACATATTGTAGCGTCGATGTGCGCCACACTTGGATTTCAATGGACCACCTTTGATTTTCAAGCACCACACTTGTATACTTACAGATCTGATTTCATTGTCTCTTAGGGAAGAATTAGTTGATTCTACTACAATGACAAACTTTACTTTAGTATTGGTTACATAGCCATATCTGAATTTAAGTTAAGGAAGAAAATATCAATATGGAAAATAATTATGTAATATCTATTAAAGACTTATTTTCAAGGATCAGTAAATCTGAGATGTCACAGAATTTTGTAAGTTAACATTCAATTAGGACTTTCTGAACTAAATTGAAAAATAGAATAAGAAATTCATTTATCTGTTCTATTTACTCACAACAGATGCATAAAAGATATTCAAGTGTTCATTTTTTTTTTTTTTTTTAATTTTCAGTTCCAAGTTTAAAATAACAAAGTTGTATGCGCAATCTCTTAAAAATCTGTTTCATCATCTAGATACTGTAACTTGACGTTGAAAAAAAAATCACTAATCATTATTATCAGTCCTATTAATCTTCTTTAACCCTTATATTTTGGGAACAGTAAGCCTAAATGCATATATGGTCATGATTTCAGGCATGCTTTTTACTGAGAAATTTAACAAGTATGCCTAAAATCCAAATTATCATTACCAGGCCTTGTTATGTGTTCCAAGCTTTATCCGAATTTGTCAACTAGAGCAAAAGTTATCCTATAAAAACTGTTCTTTCATTTGACAAAAGATGAAATTGGTACTGGTGTAAATAGAGATGTTTGGTATCACATTATTATTTTTCTCATTTTTGCCTGTTGATCAATAATCCCATTATTAAATGTACACAATAATTTACAGAATCTAAAGCTCGTCATATTAATAAGTTCATTAATGACTTGGTTTTGACTAAAAATGATATTAAAATAGAGATATTTTGTGAATTTCCAATATTTTCACTTAATGGACATAAAAATTAAAGAACAAATGACAAAATAAACCATCATGATTAGAGGTCATTAGATTTAGAAGACTTAATTTTCAAACTATTTTAAACATGTTAATACTGATTTTGTGTATTTTGAGGTACAATTTTAAAAAGATTTTAAATGTTTAAATTCTGGTTAAATCACTTTCTAGTTGTGTGAGGGTCTTGTTTTTTTTTTTGCCCTTTATTTTGTACTGCTTGCTCCTTTTTCTCTATGATATAAACCCCCTCCAGACCCTCTTGTATTGATGCTACAATTTTAGCTAGAAATCTTGACCATGTAGTCCTGAAAGGTATAAATTATCTTGATTCTTCAACTGTTACCTAACTTAATATGTTTTGGAGTTTAATGTGACATCCATTTTCACTGAACTAGTACACATTTTTGTTTACGGGCCAGTTGAAGTCCGCCTCCGGGTGCAGGATTTTCTCGATGTGTTGAAGACCCATTGTCGGCCTTGGGCTGTTTTCTGCTCTTTGGTCAGGTTGTTGTCTCTTTGACACATTTCCCATTTCCATTCTCAATTTTATTTAAGTATAGCAAAATATACATTGTATAAACAACCAAGCCATATTTTAGTCATTACAGAAGAATATAAAATCTTATTTGATATAAATGTAAGGATACACTTTGTAATCTTCTGTAGGATAGAGTAATCCAAGATACAATTCTCTCAAATCGTTGACATTTTTTCCAACTGATGATATCTTCTCCTCCACCACATCTAATGATGTATGAACTGTATAATAAAATCGCAGCTCATTTTCGGCATGGACAGTTTTTATAAACAATGGATAATTCTGTAAAAAAATACACATAAAGATAACTTTTTGAATTAGATAAAATATATATATATTAGCGTTAGTGCTGTGCACATACATATTGTCTATTGAGGGCGAAAGGACCTTTTTCTAGACAGGATGGAGCCTTAATTTTAGCATGAATTCTGGATTTACACTTACTGGGACCCTGGAATTAATGATTAATTTTGAAGAACACTATTTTTTTCAGGAATCAGGAATTCAGTGTTCCTTTTTTCTGGGAGTTTAGGATGACATGCCTTTTACCCACCTCTCTATCTTCTAACATCAATTTAGATACAAACTCTGATTTAACTTAAGTCACATAATCATGAAATGTAGGCTGAAGTGACCCAAGTTCTCCACTTTTGTTCAATGGAGGCTACAAGAAGCCTTTTTTTAATAACCTGGCATATATGCACAATAATGAAAGTTTTTTTCTAGATTTCAAAACAGGACATGATAGTTTTGTAGTTAAAGGGCACTAGAAGTATGGAAATGTCACAAAAAGGGTTCATGACCTTCTTTGTCAGCATCTTATCTATAAATATAGTGTTAGTCGTAAAAAAAAATATAAAGACATATGTCAGAGTTATCAAGTCACAACTACAGATTTGGACATTTTCAGCTGGAGATTGGACCTCATAATTGGAGATTTTTATTGACGTTTTCAGTGTTCATTTTGATAATAAAGCTACATATTTCCCATGTTTTTTTGTGAAGATACGGGTATTCATATAATACTATTGATGAATTCTCTTTGCAAGATAAACATAGTAGTCCTTTTGACTTACTGAAGAAAAAAATTAATTTTCCAGCATCTACGCGTAATTCAGTTGTAAAAATGTTTAAAATATAACAATATCATGTGTACTGGGTAGATTTAACTATCTTGTCACCTCCATAATAAGTTTACCCGTCGCATTTTTGCGCCAGTCCCAAGTCAGGAGCCTCTGGCATTTGTTAGTCTTGTATGTTTTTTAATTTTAGTTCATTTATATGTTTTGGAGTTTGGCGTGTCGTCCATTTTCACTGAACTAGTACACATTTTTGTTAGGGGCCAGCTGAAGCCCTCCTCTGGGTGCAGGATTTTCTCGCTGTGTTGAAGACCCATTGGTGGCCTTGGGCTGTTTTCTGTTCTTTGGTCATGTTGTTGTCTCTTTGACACATTCCCCATTACCATTCTCAATTTTATTTACTATTTGTTTTTGATTTTTTTTTTTCTATTCTTTTCTGCCTTGTATGAAGTGTTCCTCAATTGTAATAGTATGTTCCCATACTACTTAAGCTTTAGTATTACAGTGTATTAGTTCTACAATCTAGCCAAATATTGCATGGTCACACATAGTTACATCATTATAAGTAAATAAATATCTAAATAATTCCAATTCAATATAATTATAAGAAGATGTGGTATGATTGCAAATGAGACAACTGTCTACCAGAGACCAAATGACATACAACTTAACAACTATAGGTCACAATACTGGCCTCAACAATGAGCAAAACCCATACCTTAAGCATTGAAATGATGTATAGATCTCTCAAAATATTTTCAAATTATTATTTCTTATTTGTTCTAAGAAAGTAATAATAATTTAATTACCAAATTTTTATATAATTCTTAGTTTAATTTGTATTCTAATATGACGTGTGTACACACCCGTGGTAAAATATAAATATATTGTATGTCAGCTGATCGGCAACGTCATGATTTATTTTGGCTGTTCCAATCATACTCCCACGTCATATTCTTTTTTATGAATGAGCTACCCGACGTTAATCGGAGGAAATGACATCATTGAACGATGACGTAAGAATATAAGCATTTTTCGGGAAAATGCACGGTTGTGAAACTGAAAGTCATCAAATCAAGAAAATATAAACAAAAGCCAATTTTTTTTTACATATAAGTAAGATTATCAATTATCATTTAAATTCATCCAAACCTATCTAAGTACGTTATTGTAAATAGTTTAAGCATGTCAATAGTTCAGTTTTCTCCGTTTTTTTACGTCAATATTAATAGTGTGTTTAATGACGGGAACGGCAAATGTTTGCCTTCACCTAGAGCACTTTGATCCAAAAGAATTGCTGAATTTGTCCTATCGCTCCTGGTAAAATATTTAGTATAAAAGGCCAACCCATAGTAAAATCAGTATAAATTCAAGCCCCCATGAATTATTTCTTAATTGTATTTATATTTTTAAACCAATTTACATTCTTTAAGGAGTGTAACTTGAAAAACATGGTAAAACAAGGGAAGGAACTCGAAATTGCTATCAAGTATTTCAAATACTCAGATCATTTATTACATAACAGTAGTTATCCTGAGGTAAAAGACTTAAATTATTAGTTTGTTTGAAAAGCAAGCTGTCAAATTAAGTGAAGCTACATAATTATCAAAGTTCATTGATATGACAGGTAAAAATTACTTTCATCAGTGACACAAAATCAATGTTAGGATTAAATTAAAAATAAATACTGAGAATTGAATTATTAAGAGAGGGACAGAAGACGGCTTAAAATAGGGAGATTTTGCCTCATTGAGGCCATCATGGTCAACATTAAGGTCTATATTGTAGACTTTGCAAAAGACAAGTGATATCTTCTTAGGTGGCATAAGATACTTCTTTCAAATGATGATTAACCCACCATGATCATTATTTTCACAATTCTAACATACAGGCAGAGGAATACAAATCAGCAGTTCCAAACAAGTTCGAATCTTAATTTGCTTGTTTACAATGTCCCATTGATTAGGAGGTGAAAGCGTGATCACAGGAAACATTAATTTTGATTGGCTAATTACGGCTGAACCTGATTGTCTCCTTGAGAAAAGATATTAATTGGGAACCAACAAATTTTTTGTGTAAATCGTGATTTATGTTGGTTTTTTTTTCATGGTCACGATTGTGCAATCAGGACAAGAAGAGTCGAAAATCATGAAAGTTGAAAGGTATGCAGTACTCTACATTACTCTTCTGTAGAAATTGTTTAAGCTGCTATTTCATGCCTTAAATAGTAAATAAATGTGAATTGTGTCCACATGTGGACACAGATGATGCCCCCGCTTGCATATCATATAGTTATAAAGGGACATAACTGAAGAACGGTAAAAGTGACGCTACCAAAATTTGAACTTGATCTGAGTTTTGTGGTAATAAGCATTGTGTGTAAGTCTCATAACATTTGGTTGAGGCTAACTTAAGTAGAGAACAGAAACTAAAAATAAAAGCAATTTTTCTATTTGTAAACACGCATAACTCTAGAACGGTTATGTATAAGTTTTATAACATTTGGTTGAGACAAACTAAAGTTAGAGAACGGAAACGAAAAAATTCAGCATTTTTTATATTTATAAAGGGACATTACTCAAGAATGGTAAAAGTGTCGCCACCAAATTTCGTACTTAATCTGTATTATGTAGTAATGAGCATTGTGTATAAGTTTCATAACATTTGGTTGAGGCAAACTAAAGTTAGAAAACGGAAACAAAAAATTTGTACTTAATCTTAGTTTTGTGGTAATGAATATTGTGTATAGGTTTCATAATGTTTGGTTGGGGCAAACTTAAGTTACAGAATGGAAACTAAAAATTTTGTAATCTTTCGATTTATAAAGGGGCATAACTCAATAATGATTAAAGTGCCACTACCCAAATTCAACTTGATCTGTGTTTTATCAGTGGAAGTCATAATTAAACATTGCATTGTATAAAGCATTTATTGTAGTTGATTCAACTATAATCATGGACAAAGGAAGATAACTCCAATTTTAAAAATTACTTGATATTTAGAAGAAAATAAAAATTTAGCAATTTTTCCATTTATAAAGGGGCATAACTCTAGAATGGTTAAAGTGACGCCACCAAAATTCAAACTTGATCTGTGTTTTGTGGTAATAAGCATTGTGTATAAGTTTCATAACATTTGGTTGAGGCAAACTTAAGTTAGAGAACAGAAACGAAAAATTTTGCAATTTTCCATTTTTAAAGGGGCATAACTCTAGAACGGTTAAAGTGACGACACCAAAATTCAAACTTGATCTGTGTTTTGTGGTAGTAAGCATTGTGTATAAGTTTCATAACATTTGGTTGAGGCAAACTCAAGTGAGAGAACGGAAACCAATTTTGGGACTACGGACAAGGGTAAAATTTACGGCGGGAGCATAAAAATTTCTGTCTTTTCACTAGAAACGTAAGTTTTATGGATATTCTACACATGTACAGTGATTTAGAGTTCTTTGGCAAAATTATGTTTTTAGGGCCCAAATATCGTATATCAATAAAACTTTCGAACTGAACGACGGACGACAAGTGATGGCAAAAGCCCAATTATCTAAAAGAGATGGTAAGCAAAAAAAGAAAACAAACACAATAGTAACCTCTTTTGCAATAACTGCAACACAAACTGCCATTTTCCTGGTTCTAGTGCCCCTAACTGGAAACCAGTTCTCCTTTTTTCAATGGAATGTGTTCATTTGAAGTTGTTTTGCAACAACCTCTAATATTTATTAGTGAAGATAAAAACAATTATGATAAATATACTGTTAAGAATACTGAATAATCCCAATTACATAGGATGAATATCTTAAAGTAATTGCTGGGTTTTGATAAACAGTCTTCCTCTAAACATTATTTCAACACTTTATGCATTTGGGTTCACGACTCCCGCCATTATTGTAATAATCAGCACCAAAAAACAGATGAATTAATCTTCTGCGTATTTTCACGATGTCAAATTTACACATCGACAAAGATGCGTTTAACAGAAGAATCAAGCGTCTATACACCGCTTGGAATGTAAGAATCAAGTTAAAAGATAGAGTTTGGGAAAGAATTTTGCCTTGAGCAAGAATTTACTGACCTACCAAAAGTACCATGCCAAATTATGGCAATGCAATGTTTAATACCTATACCTGGATCTGTGAGACGATCTAAGTCAACCGGCTTCTTTTGTCGCCTTGCGTTATTTAATTCATGTTAATCCTTATGATTAAACTTTACCCCTTGTTTACATTCATTCTTATGGGGTTTGGGGACAGATCTGGTATAATTTTCTGATCTGATTTTGATACAGTAGTGTTCGGTAATCCGCCCGTCTGGTAAACCCGCCCACTCCCATTTCTTCCTAAATTGTCACTTCCGTGAATGTTTCGTCTGCTATTTTATTCATTGGAACTGTACTTATCATCACTGCATGTCAAATTTTACGAAGATATCTAGTGAAATATATAATACAGTTCCTAAAGCTAATGATAATATTATTATTGCTCATTTCTGACTTGAAATTTTTTTTTGGATTATCTGGAATCTCTTTAAAAGTGGTCTATTAACAAATAGATCACCTTTTCCTTTCATAAATTTGTGATAAACTGGCCCTCCATACATATTTACTGCGCATGGGGGGTTTTACGGGACAAACACATTTCCGATAAAAACAGTGACCCACTTGTTTTGTTGATTTTAAAATTTATTTCAGATATTTTTTGGGAAATGAGATAAACTACTCAAAGTTGATTTGTCAGTGAATCGATTTATATTAAATTTGGTGCAATTTGTGTATATAATAATTAAGCAGAAAAACATACAATCAAAGCCTTATGTGGGCGGATTTACCGGACTGCATCATACTGTTAACCTCATTGAAGAAATTAATTTCAATCGACAGACCTTTAAAGTACAACTGATTGGAAACAATCCTCTAAATGGGAATCTATTGGTCAAATACACTTATTTTCAGTTCATGTTAATCGGATTCCCGAAGGAAAATATATATGGGTTATTAATTTGGTGATGTATGGCGGGCTGGAGTCTGCCATATAGTGTCCGTGCAATTACTTAAGAACGCGTTGACGAAATCTTTTCAAATTCAGATATGTTGTTTCCTGTGACTAAATGAAGGCAAAGTTCGATTTTCACTATTTTAGCTTTTATAGTTGTTCAGTTGTAGACATTTAAGTAGCGAAAAGTGATACTTGTAGCTGTGTCTGTGCAATAACATGAAAATGCTTTGATGAAATCTTTTAGAATTTCATATGTTGTTTCCTGTGACTAAAAGAAGGTCAAGTTAGAATTTCACGATTTTAGTTATTACATCTGTAAACTTTCTTGGTGTTGTTGGCAGTTGTTGTCTCATTGAGGACACCTTATTCCACAAGGACTGCTTTGCTTTATATCCTTTCCCACTGCTTCTAGTTATTTGTATATTTTCAGAAAGTTGCTTATTTTTCTTTTAATAGTTTTTCTCTTCATCTTTTGTTTGTTTTTTACGACTCTTTATCTTTTTCCTTAATCCATCTTCTTTTATAGTTAAAGATGTTTGCCCTGTATTTAGCCTTTGCAATTCTCCATTTCTCTCTCCTGGTCTGAACATTTTTCTGGTTGCTGGTTTATTTTGTGCTGGATGAAGATTTTTGTTTTGTCCAATCTTCACTTTGATTGGTGATGTTGCTTTAGCTTCTTTCTTTTTTTGTCTGAGTTAAGCTTGCCTTTATCTTTGGTTTTCCAAGTATTTTTTGTTCATTTGCTCTTCTGGTGTTCTGTTAATAATCATTCTAATTGGTTTCAGTTTTTGGGTAAAGATTGCATGAAATGCAATCAAAACCCTATGGTACTGACTAGATTTCTAAATCTTCCAAGGTTTATCACTACTTTTGAGATACACAAAATATAGTGCATTGATCATAACATTCTTAACATCCTATCCATGAACATTTCCAGAAATTTATCAATGAAATATATGCTCAGATATTCAAGTTTCAAAATGATATTATACTTGTCAAGAAAATTACATAACTTGTGCAAGGTGCAGTAATCTAATATCTGTTCTAAAAATATTTATGATGTCATTGTTAAAAGTAATCGTTAAAATTTGAGTTATCTTCCTTAAAATCCATATATAAAATGTAGTTGAATCAACTGCAACAAATGTTATTACAATGCTATGTTTAATTTTACTTCCCACTGATAAATTTAATCAATCTTTACCCTTCATTGCTTACAAGCACTTTGATTGTCTTTTCATTTTTGAATGTTCTTTTTGCCTTTCTAAATATTCTATGTATTTCTGTGGGTTATTTTGTTTGAGCTCTTGTCTCCATATGGTGCAGCGATGCTTCTAGGTTGAATGGAAAAAAATATAAGAGGAAAGCCAATTAAAACATTAAAAATAAAAATTACTAGTATACATGTTGATTTGTTTTTTTAGTGTTGTATATTGTGCTTGTATCTTCAATCATAATTGCATCCTAACCTTTGTTCCTCATTATTTATTATATAATTTCAATTACATGTCATGTGCATACATGAGGATTGTAAAGTTTTATTTTTGTGCAACTTCTTCCATGTTTGTACTTTTTTATTTGACGTTCAGTCATGCAAGACAGGTACAGGTTTAATGTGTTCTGCTTATTTAATTTCAAGACCATTGTCATTTTTAAGTGCTTATTTTGCGAGCTTGGTATTTTTCAAATACATTTTGTAAATTGCAGACTTTGCAGGGATCCCCAAGAAAAATTGGTTTTGATCGTTACACACCTTTTTAAGAGCCGTAAAACCATTTGATATCATGATAAACATAAATTCTTTACTAAACAGGAATATTGAGTAAAATCAAAATTTATAAATCCACGAAGACAATAATTCAGTCACAATAGGTTCACTTCAAAGTCTATTATTCATGCAACATTCATGACAGACATGTTACGATCATAATGAAATTTAATAGGGAATAGTATTTTCAATTATTTATAAAACCCGAGATAAAAATAACTACAATTGGCTGTCTGAGAACCAACAACAAAATTGCGATCGTGACATACCAAAATGGACAGAAAAGACGTGACGTTCACAATATTATTATTAAATTACCTTTTTTAGCCTTTATCAATAAAAATCTGCCTTAAATCATGATTAAAATACAAAAGACGACTTTTTATTAAAATATAAGTCCATGTTATTATGCTCCACTTATGAATAATACTTTAAAATTCCACTCCAAATGAGCTAGATATCAGGCAATTAGGTCACAATGTCTTATACCATGTCCAACATTTTGAAATTGAAAACCCTCTGCATACTATTCTGTAGTTTTACTACCCTACCACTATTAAATTATTACTCAATTGAGAGATTGTTATAGACAACTTTCAAATTCCAGGATTGATATTAACCTTTTTCAAATAGCCCCCCCCCCCTAACCCCATCCATCAGATTGCAAAATTTGTATTGCAATAAACCACAATTGGGAACTTATTTGAATTTCATCAGGGCTCGACAATAACGCTTGTCTGATTGTGCGGTACCAGAGGAAAAAAAAATCGGACAAGTAAAAGCTATATCAAGCTTGTCCGATGGGACAAGTAAAATTATTCTACAGAAAATAAATTTAATGAACAAAGTAATAATAAACAAAAGACAAGAAAAGAAGATTAAAACAAGTATTAATTTGACATGTTTACTTGCAATCGATAATTTAAAACTGGTTCTTTGTCAGGTACTTTTTAACAGTTCTTGGAAACCAGTCTTACTGATCGGAATATCGCTGCGCTTTGTAGATAAGGTAACTTTACAAGACACTTCGTCACCAGCTCGGAAGCGATTCGGCTCCAAGTTTAATAGACAGTTACTGTTTGGCACCGTAGGAGACATATTTAATAGACATAATTGATAGACAGTTTGGTAACGCAGGAGACATTTTGGGACCAAGAAAAATCAGTACCTCGTTTTCCTACCTTATTCTGTTGCTTTATAATATTCGGTATGGTATTTATTTATTAAATAAATACCATACCGGTAATTTTTATAACAAAAATATTTTTTAAATAAAAATGAAGAAATTATTTACCATAAAATTCACAAAATCATATTTCATCATATGTAGAAAAAAAACAATACTTGCAATACGGTGACCTATAGTTGTTAATTTCTGTGTCATTTGATCTCTTGCAGAGAGTTGTCTCATTGGCAATCATACCTCATCTTCTTTTTTTTATTGATTGCATTTGAATAAACTTTTTTCAACTTAAAAAACCAGGATACAAATCCAATGAGTGTACATTGGCAATCCTATCAGAAGGTGCCTCATGTGCAGAGTCTGATGAGACTTTGGCATTGATGAAAACTAGAACCTAAGTCCTGTGACATGACTAGATTCAGTTGTTCTCGACTCATATTTTTGAAAAGTATTGCAAAAGATATGTTAAAATTAAATTCTGTTCTATTGTTTTAATTCAATCAACTTAAAATGCAAAAAAGGTTATTATTAAGATTTTTTTGGGACAAGTTACAATTTCATTCGGACAAGTAAGTTTTGGTATGTACTTGTCCTACTGGACAAGTTGAAAAAAAAGTTATTGTAGAGGCCTGATTTCATTCACAAATATAAATCCTTATATCATCATGTTGTATGGAATATATGTTCATTGTGAATATTTAACATGTTTGAGCAGGTGACCATGAAAAAGAGAAATTATGTCAATAGCAATTGAACAACTTTGTTGACAATATATGAAATTAAAGTATATATGGGATGTATGTATAAGGCAGATTTTACAATAAGAAGGAAGTATTGTTTTTTGGTATCAACCAAAAAAGGAATTGCTGAAACTGTGAAACAGACTGTAATGAAGTAATGCATTGTTATTTAGTAAAATGTGTCTGAGTAAATAAAAATAAAAATTACTCTGTGTTTGTGTTTTCTGTTAGATTTATATAAAAATAAGGAGATGAGGTATGATTGCCAATGAGAAAACTATCCACCAAAGTTCAAATAAAGTGGATGTAAGCAATTATAGGCAACCGTACAGAGGCACAATACCTGAACATTGTTATGTTTAGTCAAACAAACATATTTAAAATCTTATTATAGTACCACAAAACTTGACATTTGTACATTCTTGCCGGATTTTTATGAAACTTATTATCATAGGTTTATATTAGCAATTTCTTGGATGAGTTCGAAATTCAGTACAGATTAATTATTTTTAAAAGAGTTATGCCCCTTGGGAACATTAATTTTATGGAAAATTCCATCGTCAGTGCTCTCATGTGTTCAATTCTTGTCAGATTTTTATGAAACTTATATCATAGGTTTATTTCAGCAATGTCTTGGACGAATTTTGAAAATCAGTGCTGATCAATAATTTTTAAAAGAGTTATACCCCTAGGAAATATTAATTATATGGAAAATTGCCATATGAGTGCTCTAATGTGTACAATTCTTGCCAGATTTTTATGAAATTTATATTTTAGGTTTATATCAGCAATGTCTTTGACACTTTGGAAAATAAGTTCTGATCAAATATTTTAACGAATTATGCCCCTTGGAAATATAAATTATAATGGAAATCACATTGCATTTGCTCTGAAGCCTTCATTTCACTTAAGATATTAATAAAAGTTTTAAAGACCAATAAAAAGGTGGGTTTTTTTTAGTTATTGCCCTTGTACCTTGGATAGATAAAATATGTGCAACGCGGGGGACATTGGAACTCTGTTCTTTTATTTCATGAATGAATTTGATTTTAAACCATTTTTTTCCTTGTAACCTGTTGCGTCCATAACAGCCGCTTACTATCACAATGTGTCTTTTTTTAAAAAAACCCAAATTTTTTTAATCTTTTAAAAAAAAAAACCCAATTGCCTTTTTATGCCCACGCCCTTGTCCGTCTGTACGTACGTCCCAAAATTGGTTTCCATTCTCTAACTTTAGTTTGCCTCAACAAAATGTTATGAAACCTATACACAATGCTTATTACCACAAAACACAGATCAAGTTTGAGTTTTGGTGGCGTCACTTTTACCGTTCTAGAATTATGCCCCTTTACAAATGGAAAAATTGCTGAATTTTTCATTTCCGTTATATAACTTTAGTTTGCCCCAACGAAATGTTATGAAACTTATAAACAATGCTTATTTCCACAAAACTCAGATCAAGTACAAATTTAAGTAGCCTCACTTTTACAGTTCTTGAGTTATGTCCCCTTATAATGTTATATGCAAGCGGGGGCATCATCTGTGTCCGATGGACACATTCCCTATTTATTTGAAAATATAAAAACAACTTTGCTGTTTTTCAAAAAACCCTTCTGATTTAATGGTGTAGTTTGGTTTTTTTTTAGTCTGGATTTCTTCCAACGATTTTCATCAACATATATCTCTCATTTGACAAAACAGCTAACATATTTGATAAATATATGCGACAGAATTAAAACCATATTAAACATCATAAATTTGTTTCTTGAAAAATAGTTTTAAAAGGTTTCTTGATGAACCATATTTAGAAGTTGCACACACAAAAGCTATGAATATTCACGGGCCATTAAAAATCCTTTTAACTTGATTATGCTTTATGATGTAATGAAACTAAATATATATTATGTCATTGTAGAAAGCAGGGGGAAACGATCCATTGGCACAGTCAGATGCATTAGTTGCAGCTGTTGGAGTGGATGAAGAGATTGTCTACTCTAAATCAACTGCATTACAGGTAGGTGCTTTTTCTTTCTCTCTATATTTACAATATTGTCTCATATTTTTAAAAATAAAATAAACTGCTAATATTAAATCAACCACACTTGAATTTTTTTGTTAAACTCAAGTGCTATTACAATGTAGTTGGCTTTTTGCTTTGGTTAATAAAGTCCTGAAAAAAACCACTGCTAAATGAAATTTGACAGGAACTTAATGAGACCTGTGAGCCAAGGATTATAATATGTTCACTCCAGTATGTTTTTTGGTATAAGAGCTATATTGTAAAATTTCAGTTGACTTGATTAGCTGAAGCTAGGGGTAATCTCCGTAGCAAGCCATGACAAAATCAATTTTTTTTTCAAATGGATTTCAGACTTGGTTATTTGGATATGAATTAACAGACACAATTGTTGTTATTGCTGAAAAGAAGATTATCATATTGGCCAGTAAAAAGAAGATCGAATTTCTTAAACAAGTTGAAAATTCAAAAGATACTGAAAATGGATCTCCAGCAGTCAAGTTACTTACAAGGGATAAGGTATGTAATAGTACTATATGACTTACACTTGCATATTTTTTCCAGATAAACAAATTTGATACATTATTGATTGTTACAAATTTTGATTGGATGGCATAAACAAATTTAAAGTAAAATCCATAGTCTGTGTATTTGAATGTTATTACACAGGGTTTTCATTAAGGATTTTTAAGGCGAGTCCAGAGAAACCAATTTTTGCCATGGCGAGTCCAACAATGAGAAGATGAAATTTTATTTGCTATATCATTTATTTTAGTCAAGCAAGGAAACGACGTCAAGTTTAGATTATTTTTAAACTTTTGTCATAAAATGATGATATTTATGCTCAGTTGATACATATAGATTCTACCACTGCATCGAGTGTGATACGATATTTATCCACTCGAGACAGTTAAATTTTCAAATTTAAAACGCCAGGCTCGCCGAGCGTTTTAAATATTTAAAATTTAACTGTCGAGAGTGGATAAATATCGTATTACACGAGATTTGGTGGTGGAATCTGTTTCTCTAATGACTTTCAAACATTATGCAGGCAAACTTAGTCCTCCTTTTTGAATGATCTGCAAAAAGATGTGTTCTTTCTATGTGACGTCACCTGCAAGCCCGACCTCCCCGTAAGTCGTCATTTGAGATCACCTGGACACGCCCAAGCTGATCTCAAAAACCTTACAATCACAATCATAGACCACAACGAGGGTTGGTCAAGGGCCGAAAGACTTGCTCGGGAAAGGTTTTGGATAAGAAAGCTAAGGACAGTTTCCCAGTTTCGCCGAGCGTTTTTAAATATTTAAAATTTAACTGTCGAGAGTGGATAAATATCGTATTACACGAGATTTGGTGGTGGAATCTGTTTCTCTAATGATTTTCAAACAATATGCAGGCAAACTTAGTCCTTCTTTTTGAATGATCTGCAAAAAGATGTGTTCTTTCTATGTGACGTCATCAGGCATGGTCGCCTTTTTTCATGCCGTCACAATAGGAAATTCAGAGGAAAGGAAGAAAATTCGACGTCATAATCGGATTTTAACCATCAACGAACATGACGAACTTGTATTGCTGTTTCATCGCATTTACTAAGTAAATGTCTTACCATTACCATGAAGGACAGTTTAGGGAGGGCAACAGTCTAAAATTGAAATGATTTTAATGACTCAAAATGGTTAATTTCTCAGACATTGCTTACGTTTCTTTCGATTTGACAAAAGTTAAAACCGGAAGTTTGCGATATTTTAAAGTACAAATAATTCCGGATTCATTTCCGGGATTTGTTTTGTTTATCAAATTGACAGGAAATCACCGGCTTTTATGGCTTTTTTATTTTATTACCTTTAAAAGTGTTTGAATATAACAGATAATAGTTGCACTCGTTTAATTTGCATTTTACGATTAAATATTAAATTTGCTGAAGACAATTTCACGCATGCGTATTACATAGAAAATAAAGCACATGTGTTACTCATGAAAAAATACTTTTTTCTACGTAAATTTAGATTTAATTTTTAAATCAGAATTGATGACTGTCTTTGATGAAAAGTAAATAAATAATGAATACACTTGTCAGGGAACTTTAATGTTGTAAAGATATTATTCTGAACTTGTGATCACTGTCAGGTTTGAATTAAAACCACAGGTAAAAAGTGATTAGCCATCATTATATATAGATATTAGGAGGGCCCTCAGGATTATCAAACTACTGTAGTGGCAGTTTTATTACAGGAAAGGGATTATAAACAAAAACAAGTGATCACAAGCGCAAAATGGCGATTAAGAAATCCGATTTCAAACATTAAGTCAATGAAATGACCGAAATTACTTCCGTAAAAAAATAAAATTTGTCCTAAGTCCCAATTACTCGTTTAGGACAAATAGTTTCATCTTAGGACATGACTGGCAAATATGACCGTTTCCGGACTCTTGGTCGTATATTGGTATGACGTTGGCGTCGTATTTGTCGTTGTCCGAAGACACATTGGTTTTCGCCCTCTAACTTTAGTTTAAGTGAATGGATCTCTATGAAATTTTACCATAAGGTTCAATACCACAAAAGGAAGGTTGGGATTGATTTTAGGGGTTATGATACTAACAGTTAAGGAATTAGGGGCCAAAAAGGGGCCAAAAATAAGCATTTTTGTAACTTCCAGACATAACTTGTGTGTTAGTGTATGGATCTCTCTGACATTGTACCACAAGGTTCCATATCACAAAGGGAATGCTGGGATTGATTTTGGGGGTAATTGCCTCCAAATTTTAGGAATTAGGGGCTAAAAAAGGGGCAAAAAACAAGCATTTTTCTAGTTTCATGACAATAACTTGTGTAAGCGTATGGATCTTTCTGAAATTATACTACAAGGTTCTATATCACAAAGGGAAAGCTGGAATTGAGTTTGGGGGTAATTGCCAGGGGTTCAAATTAGCGGTGGTCCGAGGTCCGCGACCTTCCATTTTTGCAGTCGGACTCTCGTTTTGGTTACAAGCTACGCCCGACGGACCTTCGGTTTGAAAGAAAATAAAAATAATCTTTGCCGACCTTTTTAAACAAAAATTTCCAAACAATCTCAAAATTTATTTTCATCATTATTATTCATGACAGCGCTGTTCATTTTGTTCAACCGCTAGCTTTATACCGAAAATTGCCAACTAGTAATGTGTAAATCAGAGTAAAATCGTATCTGACGGACAAAACAACATTGAAAAACATTGGATGCCATAAAAACCGAAAATTAAGAAAATAATAAAAAACTGATCCGATTCCGGAGCGGATAAGGGTAATTCCGGGTTTGCCGATCAAATACAATGAAAAAATAATAATTCCAGGCAGTTGACAAAATACATCTATGATGATAAAATATAAACACTAGAATTGAAAACCAAAAGATATATTGAAAAGAAAGAAAAAGTAGGAAATTTTTTTTTACAGAAACTCAAAATTACTTTTAGTTCATAAATTTTCATCTCAAAATCCAAAAAAATGTGACAGTAATTTTCTTTATCATTAATAAATATTGATATTACATGTAGATTTTTGTATTGTGTAAACGTATTACTACAATTCCAAGAGGTAATGTCTTCTCATTTTTAAAGGACCAGTACAAATCTGGAAGTTTCTTATCTTATTTTCACAGAGGAACTAATGCATTATAATAGTGCAACTAGATATGATACACTTAAACCAGAGACATATATACACATGTATATACGTCTCTGCTTAAAGAGCTTTGAATTTGAACTGTTTTATAAAATGGTTTAAGTACTAAGTAGTAATATATTACCAATAGTTGAGACAAGACACCCACCCATGATGACACCCTCCTCAATAACAAAAAAAAAGATTATCTGAATTTATAATATACAAGACAATTACAATTGTTATTAAATATTTTTTACAACAGTGACTTTGACAATGAAACAAGTTGACCTAACACCAACAGCACATTAATTTTGTTACTTGTATCTTACTATGTTAGGAAATATTTCAAGTAAAAATAGGACCTGGAATTTAGGTTGAGGACCTTTCAGATTGGAGTGTCAAAGGTCCTGGACCTTCCAGTACCAAATGTTAATTTGAACCCCTGATTGCTCAAAACGTTTAGGAAAAAGGGGCCAAAAATAAGCAGTTTTCTAGTTTCCAGACAATAACTTGTGTTCAAGTGTATGGATCTCTCTGAAATTGTACTACAAGGTACCATACCACTAAGGGAAGGCTGGGATTGATTTTGGGGGTAATTGCCTCAAAATTTTTGGAATTAGGGGCCAAAAAGGGGCAAACAACAAGCATTTTTCTAGTTTCAGGACAATAACTTGTGTGTAAGTGTATGGATCTTTATGAAATTGTACTACAAGGTTCCATATCACAAAGGGAAAGCTGGGTTTGAGTTTGGGGGTAATTGCCCTAAACGTTTAGGAATTTGGGGCCAAAAAACAAGCATTTTTCTAGTTTCCAGACAATAACTTGTGTGTAAGTGTATGGATCTTTATGAAATTGTACTACAATGTTCCATATCACAAAGGGAAAGCTGGGTTTGAGTTTGGGGGTAATTGCCCTAAACGTTTAGGAATTTGGGGCCAAAAAACAAGCATTTTTCTAGTTTCCAGACAATAACTTGTGTTCAAGTGTATGGATCTCTCTGAAATTGTACTGCAAGGTACCATACCACAAAGGGAAGGCTGTTATTGAGTTTGGGGGGATGAATCATAAGGGGGTTCAAAAAATGGGGGGGGGGGGGGATTTTTTTCTCCTTTTTTTCCTTTTTTTTTTCTTTAAAATTTTCCATTTTAAATTGGTTATTTCTGATGTATATATAAAAGCAAATAATAATGATATGGTTTGAATAGGTAAAGTAAAATATTTTAAGTTCTTAGACCACATTCATTCTGTGTCAGAAACCTATGCTGTGTCAAATATTTAATCACAATCCAAATTCAGAGCTGTATCAAGCTTGAATGTTGTGTCCATACTTGCCCCAACTGTTCAGGGTTTGACCACTGCGGTCGTATCAAGCTGCGCCCAGCGGAGCATTTTATTTTTGGTGTAGAAGTCATCTGGTGATAATCACTTACTTTTCTAACAGATTGTATCCTTGCATTACCTATGTTTTTAGAAGTGAATTATTTTTATTTTTAGGGAGACAAAGACAAAGCCAATTACCAAAAATTAATTGAGGCAATTAAAGAAAGCAAACAGGTATGAATATTCATAGTGTGTCAATGAAATAGCTTTTTAAAAAAAATAATGTCTGAAAATTACCTCACTTTCCTGGAAGTACATGTAAGTCTACAGAATTAAGCAGGTGAAGTGCATTTTCTTGTAAGGAGTACCATAACCAGCCGTGTATAGTTCGCACTGGTGCATTGTCCGCACTGCCCCTTCTCGCCACAAGAATTCAGGAAAAAAACTTTTGGTAATTGTTAGAAACTGTCTAATGAAACTCCGGTAGTTTTAAATCGTGTATGATTGTATGCGGCGTTTTTCATCATCAAATAAAAGTTGAAAGTGCTTGTAAATCATTCTATAACACTTCACAAGTGTTGAAATAAGTCAAAATCACATTAAAAAAAACATTTAGAAACTTATGCATGTTTAAACAGATATCACGTGTAAATGAAAATAAATATTGTGAGAGTGTACGGAAAATCTGTACTTAATAGATATCACTAGAATACGACTTTGAAAGTAAAACAGTTCCATCCTTGAGTAAAATAATGTTTAACATATCTATCACATTAATGTTTGAAGGATCTTAAGCTAAAACAAAACACATGCGTCAGTATGAAACACCAAAATGGAATGAATAACCCATTACGTTTTGTAGTTTATACATCATTATGCATAAGCTGGTTCCCGGTGACTTCTACACTTTTTTCGTTCCGTTAAATTCAAACAGATTCCAGTTTATTTTAAGCAATGCAGTGAAAAGAAACGAGAAATTTGTAGTGAAGCATTTAATTTTGAAATTTAACAGATTGTATGTGATACTGAATAAAAATTACATATTGATATGGATTAGGTAAAATTATTAGTTTTGAAAATGATGAGCGCCCTCTAAAATTTTGATAACAAACATGGCGGAACGTAAACAAACCTCACGAAATTGAATTTTTTCACTTATTTCTTGCTTATCGTACTCTATAGTCCGCACCCCTGTATGGCAGGTTTAATTTTGGAGAATAAAACCGCAGACTTTACAAGCCTGAATTTGGTTGACTAACAGGTGTCACATGGCTTTGATCCAATTTTCATGCTTCAGTAATCATTTTTATGTTTTTTAGGATTATTTGGTTGTTGTTTGTATTTTAAGTAATACGAGCTTTCTTTCATCTAAAATATTTCTGAACACATATCTTATAAAGTACATTGCAAATTAAAATATATTCAATGGTAGGTTAATGTGATGTACTCTTGATTATTTCTAGTTATACCATTACGATGTCAATGTCAAAATAAGGACTGTAAACCAGATTGTTTTTCACATACTTTTTTTTTTTAGCTTTTTGTTGAAATTAGGGCAAATTTACTTTCCAGTGACTTTAATGATATTTAAGTGAAGGTTTGTAACTTAACTAATATTTGATATAAAAAAAACAATCAAGCGATATCTATTTTGTAGGGTAAAACAGTTGGAGAGTTTGTTAAAGATAAGTTTCCAGGAGAGTTTATGGATGGATGGAGAAATTCTCTTAAAGGAGAAGGTTTTGTAAAGGTAACACATATTGATTTTGTTGTTAGTAAAGGCTGAAAGGCTAATATGTAATGTGTATTTCATGTATATTTTGTGAACAAAAAACAAATGGAGTTTACCATATAGCCGTCAATTATTGTTCAGCACCAAAACCCAATGATAATCTCTTAACATGATATACATGTAGTTTGATAAATTGTGAATGAGTTTAACACACACAAATAATGATCTGAGCTTTGCAAAGGAACTACAAATCAGAACTTCCTGAAATTTGACATCAAGCTTTATGTGACCATACCTAATGGGTGCAATCAACAGTTTTTTTCTATGACGTCATATTTTAAGGGACCATGCCAAAGTGACCCTTAGTGGTGGAATGGTTAATAAAGATACTTGTATAAAACTAGATATTACTGGAATCAGATTTTTCTCTAGTTTATATTGAAATAAAAATATACTGTACTTTTAATATAGTAAAAAAGTTCTATCCAGAGAAAATGGGGAAAAAGTTGCCTAATCTGAACATAAAAAACCTGAAATCAGGTCATGTGCATACCCATGTAAACATGATACAGGCACATTTCCCATAATCAAAACTGTATGAAATTCATAGGTTTTTACCTGGCCTTTAATAAAAATCTTGTTTCAGGGTACGGTTTCCTGCTTCGAAAAGAGCTACAGTGGCTGCAAATAAGTTTTCAATTTTCACTGCCAAAAAAACAGGATGTTTACAGTGTTGTCTCCCCTCAAAACATGAATATTTAATCTAATTTTTAAAATCATTTTAATCATTCAACCTGTTTAATTTGAAAGCTAATTAACTAATTTTTACAATCGAATACAAAAAACATGATACTTTTTCACCAATTATATGAATAAAAAGGGATTTCCCTCCATGGTTATTTTTAGTCGAGGAATAACCCCTAGTTTTTTATACGAAACTGTTTATAGCACCCTTAAGCAAAACTTTGTATGCGATATATAAAAAATTCTCTACTTTTCTGAATCTGTACATTATATCGATTAAAATGATGTCTTACTTTAAGGATTGCGACCATCGATAGTGAAACAACGGCTCATTTTTTATGTCGCATAGTATTGGCATATTGGCCAGTGGCAAATAGTTAAACTGGCATATTCCAAACATTTCCTGTATCACATTTTCATCAGTTATACAAAGAAAAAAAATCATAAAATTGGGTTTCTATTGAATAAATAGAATAAAAACTATGAAATAAACATAAATAAAGTTACTTTAAACAGATTTTGTCCCTAGTATTATATGAATTAAGGTGTAGCTGAGTTGAGAAAAATATTGAAATAGTGTATTTCTTAGGAACGGCACTTGTAGCTATTTGACTATAAAAAGTACCAAATATATAATATAATGAATAAAAATGTATGTTACACTGATCAGTAGTAAAGGTCAAAGTAGAAAAAATCTACACTTTTCATGTGCAACTTTTGGTTCCAAATATATGAGAGAATGAATAAAAATATTATGACGTTGCAAAAAGATGAAAAAACTTCAAAATTTGCATACAGTCTGGTTTTCTTATATCTGGTTGCTATGTACAAATCTGTAATATTTGCATTAAATATACCAAACTGATGCTTTTAAATTAATGTATGCATGCCATATGATATTTTTCAGAATTGTTTTACTCCATTCAGTAACACATTTCTATGCTAAAACCTCACTATATTATATGTTTGACCCTTTAAGGGTGCAATCAACAGTTTTTTTCTATGACGTCATATTTTAAGGGACCATGCCTAAGTGACCCTTAGTGGTGGAATGGTTAATAAAGATACTTGTATAAAACTAGATATTACTGGAATCAGATTTTTCTCTAGTTTATATTGAAATAAAAATATACTGTACTTTTAATATAGTAAAAAAGTTCTATCCAGAGAAAATGGGGAAAAAGTTGCCTAATCTGAACATAAAAAACCTGAAATCAGGTCATGTGCATACCCATGTAAACATGATACAGGCACATTTCCCATAATCAAAACTGTATGAAATTCATAGGTTTTTACCTGGCCTTTAATAAAAATCTTGTTTCAGGGTACGGTTTCCTGCTTCGAAAAGAGCTACAGTGGCTGCAAATAAGTTTTCAATTTTCACTGCCAAAAAAACAGGATGCTTACAGTGTTGTCTCCCCTCAAAACATGAATATTTAATCTAATTTTTAAAATCATTTTAATCATTCAACCTGTTTAATTTGAAAGCTAATTAACTAATTTTTACAATCGAATACAAAAAACATGATACTTTTTCACCAATTATATGAATAAAAAGGGATTTCCCTCCATGGTTATTTTTAGTCGAGGAATAACCCCTAGTTTTTTATACGAAACTGTTTATAGCACCCAATGGTGCAATGTTTTTTCACATCTATCAGTCATCAACTTCCTGTTTACAGAAAGCTTGTATATTCTTAAACATAATGGCCATGAATACAATTGTCGTCAAATTTTTTTTCATAGACATTGAACCAGAGCTTTTTTGAATTTTGTATCAGTCTTCATGTGAGAATGCTTTACAGTGCTATGAGTTTTCACATCCAACACCCATGAACTTTTTGTTAAACCTCATATTTTAATATTCATACACATAATGGTAATGTATGAAATTTTCTCAGGAACTATGAATCTGAGCTTCCTGAAATTTGGTATCAAGCTTTATTTGACCATGGTAATGCATTTTCACTTTCATCACCCCATCAACTCCCTTTTTACCTAATACTTATAACAGGAGTATTAAATTAGTGAGCAATACCTCACAGTACATCTTGTAGTTCCATACTGTTGAACTAACCCATGCATTCACTTGTAGTTTTTCTAATTGAGTCTCTTGTTTACAGGTTGATATTAGTGCATCATTAGCCTATGAGATGTCAATAAAAGAGGAGTCAGAACTAAAACTGATGCAGAAAGCCAGTCAAATCACATGTGATGTATTTGCTAAGTATCTTCGAGATCAAATTATGGAAATCATTGATGCTGAAAAGGTAAGTTGAAACTTACTTTTACATGTAGATTCAAGATTTATTTCTATCTACAATGTATCTTAAAAGAAAGGCCCCATTGTTGGTTTAGAATAGTATTTAACTGATAAGAGAAAAGATTAGGTAATTAAAACTTTGATATTCTATGATAATGGGTTTCGAGTAAAAAAAATTATTACCTAAAAGATCTAGGAGATCATTTATTGAAAACAGGTGTTATTGGACATGCCCTTGACAATAAAAAAAAAATGCTACGTTGTATATAGAGTGTGCATTTTGTATCATATTCTGTTCTACAATGCTTTAGATATGTTGATTCTTTTAAAATACCCTGCTGATTATGACAATTATCTGTTTGAATTTGAAATGTGAGGCTTTCATAAAATCTTATAACATAATTAAATGATTTTTTTTTTCATTGCAGAAAGTAAAGCATTCAAAACTTGCTGATGGTGTTGAACAAGCTTTACAAAATAAGAAATTTGTATCAGGAGTTGATCCAGCTAATTTGGACATGTGTTACCCAGCAATTATTCAGAGTGGTGGAAAATACAGTCTGAAATTTAGTACAGTCAGGTACCTAGTTATAGCATATTGTAATATTGGGTTGGGAAATGGTGTTTTAAAGTTCCTTCATCTCAACAAGTTATTTTTTGTACAAATACATGGCATATTCATTCTGGGTTACTTCTGTCAGGAATTAAGACAATATGATTTGTTAATTGTTAAACTATCAAACTTTATGATTTATTCTAATCCTTCATAGATTTGTTCTCAGATTTGTGGTTTTATATTTTTCGAAGGATCATTTTATGAAAAATTGCATTCCACTGTATTAAATAGTTTAAATTCAGACTAATTTTACAGAATTTATCAAAATCTTGAAACTTTGCGATTTCAATTTTTGACAGGGAAAATAAGGATATCTTGAGAGGCTGAAATAAATCCTTTAATCTACTCATAAATCTATGTTAAAAAACTTATGAGAAGTATAAGCGTTGCCAGAATAAAGTTAACATCTCTTTTCATGCATTTTATCTTTTTTAGTGATGATAACAACATAGATTTTGGAACAATAATATGTGCTATGGGTGTTCGTTACAAGTCCTACTGTGCTAACATTGTAAGAACATTAATGGTGGATCCATCAGACAAACAACAGAAAGATTATGAATTTCTTCTCAGTGTAGAGGATGCTATTATGGAAAAACTTAAAGAAGGTAATGTCCATTAAGTGTGACTAAGCAGTGTTCTAAAAACGAATATAGGGGGAGAGAAATTAGCTTTATGTTAATAATTGCCCTCCCTTAATTCTGATTTATCAAGTTCTGTATCTTGGAAGGCATCTCTCCAGAAACCACCACCAATCATTATGACCCTCAGCCTATTCAATTATACATTGATTATTTGCATAATTACAGGACAATATATGAATAACATGATAGAATTATGAAAGAATTGGTGTTTCATGTTGCAAATATCAGGACGAGAATATGTTCATGCAATATGAATATGAACTCTTTGTACTGGACCTAATTGCTGAGCCAGATTTTTATCATGCTTGTTCACAAGATAACAGTCTGCAGAGAGACATGTTACACTATACCGACATATTATTCTGACTCTGAGCCAACCAGTCTTTGCTCTTACTCCTAAATGTCATGTGATTGGAGGTGTAGCAGGAAATGCAAATTTTCAAGTCTTGTTTTAGAAAGAATAACGATGTTGATATACATAGTTTTCGTATTTAGGGTGTTCTGTTTCATTAAACAGATATAATCCAATTAGATTTAAGTAAATTTTACTGGTCCAGTAAATGACCTCCTCCAAACACGGGATATTTTCCCAAAAAGAAAATGTTGAAATTTTGTAGCGGAAACCATTGTGACATGATATAATCAACAGTCAATGGAATATTCTTGTGGATTTCCAACCAAAAACAAGAAAATCTGCATAATTTCAATAATGTATGAGTATGTGTGTTTGCATGTAAATACACTGAATCTATGTATGTTGTGTAATGAAAACGTAAACAGTTGAAAACGTGTGTATCACATGTAGAAAGTGTGCAACTATGGGTAGATGCATAAGTGTTGTCATAAGCTAAGATGCATTTAAAGACTTTCAGTTTAATTGAACAGAGAGAAACCCATCGAAAGGAACATTAATAATTTCTTTTTGCAGGAGAGAAAATGAGTTCAGTGTATGAACATGCAGTAAGCTTTGTAAAGAAAGAACGATCAGAATTAGTTGATAAAATGACAAAGAGTATTGGGTTTGCTATGGGTATAGAATTCAGAGAAGGATCATTGTTGTTATCTGGAAAGAATAACTTGAGAATTAAGAAAGGTAAGAGGCTGTCATTTCTGTCTGATTTTTCTGTAAAAGCAAAGATTAGAATAAGAGAAATACAATACTTCATAAATGCTTTCTTTCTTTTTTTGGGGCCAGAGATTTAGTTTTCACCTTTTGCTTTAATATGGAAACAGTGAAATTCTAAATTTGCCTTTATAGGTAGAGACCCCATTTTGAAAGTGCCTTCCCTTGGTACAATTCATGTTTAAATGAACAGCCCTTGCATACTGTCTTTTAGAAACAGCATGTTATATTATATAATAATTTTGAAATATTTTAGGAATGACATTCAACATCAATGTAGGATTTGCTGATTTAAAAGATGGTGATAAGAAGTATGCTTTGTTCATTGGTGACACAGTAATGGCAAATGCGGTAATTTTTAGATGCTATTTTTTTCAATGTCATATAGAACTGAGGGCCAATAGAATAGATTTATCCATTTTAAGAATAACAAGATCAAATATTGTTAAAATGTATTGATTCTAAAAGGGAAAATAACTCCATAAGATTCAGTACATTCAATTGCTGATATTAAGTCAATTTTCTTTCCTGATCAGGCTGTATTGGAATTCATAATGTACTCCACTTAGTTCGTAGAATATCAAAATAAGAAAAACGGTATCCAGTTTTTAGGTGAACCCTTTTTTTCTCATCAAAGTCTGTTTGTTAACTTTTACAAAAATCTTCTCCTCTGAAACTACTGGATCAAATTTAACCAAACTTGGCCACAATCATCATTTGGGTATTTAGTTTGAAAAGTGTGTCTGATGACCCCGCCTGCCAATCAAGATGGCTGAAATGGATAAAAATAGAACATAGGGGTAAAATACAAGTTTTGTCTATTATTTTTGAAAACCCGTTATAAATAGAGAAAATCTGACAAGGCAAAAATGTTCAGAATGTTGAGCTCTACTATTAGTTCATTGACGTCAAAACTGTCAGGCAACTTCTTACAGAAGCTATTGCCCTTAAATGACAATTTTTTTTCATTTTTGCCTTTTATCTTGAAAGCTATAATAGATAGATAGAAACTTTAAGTTGCAAAAATGATCAGCAAGACAAAATCTTCGAATCAGTATGCATAGTCGAAATCGTCAGTCGACTTCTTATTGGACTTATTGCCCTTTGATGACAATTTTTTCCATTTTTTTGGCATTTTTGCCTTATATCTTAAAATTATAATAGATAGATAGAAACTTAAATAAGCAAAAATGATCAGCAAGACAAGATCTACATTTTAGACAATATGGAGGAAATTTTCCGACAACTTCTTATTCGAGTTATTGCCCTTTAATGACGATTTTTATCAATTTGTTTTGCGTTTTGCCTTCTATAATAAAGATTGTAATAGATAAATAGAAACTTTAAATAACAAAAATGATCAGCAAGGCAAGATCCACAAACAATTTAAATTTTGCCGATATAGTTACAGTAGTAGATTGTCATTCTTCATAGGAGTGATTGCCCTTAAATGAATAATTTTATTTACCCTCTTTTGTTTTGAGCAAAAACTAAAGAAGATAGAGCATAGGGGTAAAAAGAAACTAAACAGACAAATTGATCACCAATAAAAGATCAACAAAAAAGAAATTTTTATCATGAATTCTATTCTGCCTACATTGAAGAGACTCCATTGTTGATTTGCACATAGACATAGGTGAGATACACAGGCTCTCCAGTTCATAAATTGCATGATTGATATGTGAAGGCTACTTAAGTGAAGTTAAGGTGACAGAAAAGTTTTCCACATCAGACAACACAATACAGTCAAACCTGAGTAAACCGGACCCTGAATAAACCGGTTTCCTGTCCATTCCGGCCCAAAATTAAAGTCCCATTTTTTCCCCTTCAAAGTCGTCGTTAAAATACCCTTTGTAATCCGCACCCTGTGTATTCCAAATTCCGGTCTAATGATGTAGTCCCAATACTCTTAATTACATCAATTATTATCTGTCAAAACCGGTTTGTCTAATTAATTCAAAATAATAACAGTATTGGTCGATATGCAATCAAAACATATTTGTTTATACAAGATGGCTTTTCAGGATAATCAATTAGCCAGGTGTTAAAACGTGAACTTACACATGGTACAGTAGTGAGCTGTATTATTCAAACACTATAAAAGTGTAAATTAAACTAAAAGACACGCTGAATATATCTTGGATAGAAATTATGTTGTAACTTGGATAATTTTTTTCAAATCACGGAGTAGTAAATTTACATCGTGTTTTCGAAATCCTGGGTTCCCTGTTGTGAACCCCTAAACCAATGACCCTGATAATAAAGAACACCCGGATGCTGACAATCCTTGGGTATCGTATACTGTACGACAATGTTTCGATCATGATGAAATTTCGTTTGATAAAATTCTGGCTTTTTAATCGGCAATCTATACAAACGTCGGAAATGAACGATGGAAGTAAACCGAAACTCTCGTGTCACAATTCAAACAACGAGAGGATTCTTATGCAAATGAAAACAATGAACACAAAGTGAAAGTGAAACTGACAAGTCGGAGACTAATGCTACCGAGGTCTATTTGACATACTAGGATCTGTAAAAAAAAAGATTAAAATATTATTTTTTGGAATTCGAGGAACAACCAGTTTCTTAAATTTCTATAGTCAATGAATAAGAAGATTCAAAACAAAGATCGTGCAAAGTTATTACGTTATTACGTTTTTTATTTATCAGTTTTTAATATACAATCAGACAGAACTTTTACATGCAATATATCGGACGTCACAAGTCATTAACTTCTGGTCAAAACGGAAACCTGAATAAACCGGCCCTTTTTCATAGTCCCGTAGCCGGCCGGTTTATACAGGTTTTACTGTACAAACATAAATCCACAAAAATAATTCCTGATAAATTTCTTTTAGAGAAGAAAAAAATGTTTCTAAAAAATAAATTATAAAATGAAGTATGAAAATTGACAGGGGTCAGCAGCATCATTGATGACCACACAAAAGAAAAGAATCAAACATGTTGGAATCTTCCTGAAGGATGAAGATGATGATGAGGAGGAAGAGGAAGAAAAAGAGGATGAGCCAGTTCTTTTAGGGCGGGGCCATAGAAATGCTGTTTTAGACAGCAGGACAAGGGTAATTGTTAATGTAGTTGGAGCCAATTTATTTTCGCAAATACTTTATTTCACTTTAGTACTTTCTAGTGGACTGCTCAGCAATTTATTTTCACTATTTTCTAATTTTCATCATGTATTTAAATAAGGGAAGATACAAGTTTTACATATTCGCTATGTTTTATATTTGCATTATTTTTATACACACGAAATTTAATAGCTCATGAAAATAAGTTGGTTTACAGTAGTTGGAGCCAGTTCTGTAAGAGCAGGGTCAATGATTTTTAAATGTATAAATAAGAAGGTAGAGTGAGTATTGTGTGGGAGGAGCAATTTAATTAAGGAGAGGCATCAAAATCTTATTGGTTAACTTCTTTACTACTACAGTCACCCACACAGTTCACTACTACACACTGCTGATTAGATAGCTACTGCAACTGATTTGAAGGCTAACTACAAGAGATAACCTTATAATGTTCAGTTGTAGCGAGAAAGCAATTCTTACATCTGCCATGTTACCCCTTTCTTTTTGCCGATAATTTGAAATTGTACATGGAAAATTTTTGTCCAAGTTTTCTTGGCATCAGTGAAAGGGAATGGTCAGTTATGCTCCTGTATGGTATTGCCTCAATCAATTGCATGCAGCGACACAGGTCTCGTTCCTGTATTGGTCTTGTTTCCAATCTATAGGGTTTTAAAAGTGATATATTTTTAATGAAAATATCACTGTGACTGTGCATGTGTTTGTTTACAGCAGATATATCAGTCAATGCAAATACACAACTGATTATGAAAGCAGATATCTCAGTTAATGTGAACAAAACAATGATAATAAACGTGTATTAATCTGTCAGTGGTAGATACAGAGTAAACTGAAATAGGGGATGTTGTGTTGGAGGAGGGGTTCAGTTTGAGGAAGGTGATGCAGCCTGGATTGGTTAACAGAAATTGAGTGAAATGGAAGAGCTAAGGGGGAGGGAGATAAATGCTCTGTTGGATAAAACATTGAGAGTAATTGTTTTTATGTCTGAGGAGTACTGTAAACCAACTTATTTTCGCAACTTTCGTGAGTAGAAAAATAACGCAAATATAAATCATCGTGAATATGTAAAACTTAGATTGTTCCTTATTTAACTATATCAAATTAATTTGAAAATCGTGAAATTAAATCGTCATGAAAAGGGATAGATTGGGCTTTACGCAAAATAAAGTATCTGCGAAAAAGTTTATTCTGTTTGGGTGGATTTTGGTTTTAGGCGCACCAATTTTTCTTTGAGCTTAAACTTGACTATGTAACACCATAATTTTGCTCTAGTTAACATGACATTTGAATAACGATTAACTTTTGATCTGTTATGGGGAAAACATAATACATGAAAACATTGTATGTTCTGCAATGGATAACAGGTTGGAAGTTCATGTTTAAAAAAATATGGTTAGCCAATAAAGTATTGGACAGTTACTGTTTGTTTAATAAGAGTCAGTTATAATATATTAGTTTCAAAGACATTTTTGTTAATATTAAAGATTAAATCCTGAACTTTTCTTTTTATTAGATGGATATGACAACAGAAGAAAAAAGACAAAAGCACCAGAAAGAATTACGAGAGAAATTAAATGAAGAGGCATTGCAAAGATTAAAAGGAATGAAAACAGGCACAGAAGATAAAAAGTAAACCATTAATATAGAGTTTATATTACATCTTAATTACAATCCCACAGAGTAAGAGGGTTTAGAAGTTATTTTATGATAGGAGATAAAGTTAATATAAGTGGGAATAGGGAGAAAAAGAAAAGTAACCAAATTTTTACCAGGGCTTCATAATTTTGTTAAATATACTTTTAAAGCTTTCACATAGCTAAAAAGGCTTTTTTAGAGCTTTTAAAGCTGAAAAAAAGATTTAAAATTCTCAACACCAAATGGGAAAGTTCAGGAAAAATGTCAGTTACCTCTCTCCAAATTAAATTTCCATTGATAACATAAAAAGAAATGGCAAATTCTTGTTGAAGTTGCAACTAGATTTTAATGTCTCGCCTGCAAAGAAAGTTGCAGAATGCGAGACATGGGGATAACTATACGGTGACGTTAACTATGTGTATAAATCTTTTTTTTCAGAATATAGAAGAACTGGATGCTTCATATCTTGTATGCAGATACCTTATGTTACTGAGTTTTAGTTTGTCATGTGTTCATTGTCCTTGACCTCATTTTCATGGTTCAGCAACTGCATGAACAAAAAATTATTGTTTTTTTTTTGTAATGTGAATTTCTCACTTATTTTGAGTAAAAGGATATGTAAATATATTTGGTATATGGGTTCCTTGCAACGTCTACATGTCCGTCAGACAGGGTTCACCTGACCTTGACCATGTCATGGATCAGTGATCAAGATTAAAGTAACATGATTAGGTCCATATCTCAGATACTATCAGCAGTTGTTCAAATATATGTGGTGTATGGAATTATGATTATAATGTGTGTATGTCAATTTGGCATGTTTCATCTGACCTTGACCTCATTTTCATAGTTCATTGGTTAATTGTTAAGTTTTTGTGTTGGTCTGTTTTTCAAATACTATAAGCAATAGGTTAACTATATTTGTTGTATGGAATGATTGTAAGGTGTTCATGTCTGTTTTGCATACATCCTTAGTCCTTGACCTCATTTTTATGGTTCATTGGTCAATGTTAAGTTTCTGTAGTTTGGTCCTCTGCTCAGATACTTTTAAGTAATATGTCAACTATATTTAGTGTATGGAATGATTGTAGGGTTTACATATCTTTTTGGCAGGGTTCATCTGACCTTGACCTCATTTTTATGGTTCATTGGTCAATATTAAGTTTTCCTGGTTAAGCCTGTTTCTTAGATATTATAAGCAATAGGTCAACTATATTTAGTGCATGGAATGATTGTTAGGTGTACATGTTTGTCTGTCATATATCATCTTACTTTGACCTCATTTTCATGGTTCATTGGTCAATGTTAAGTTTTCACAGTTTAGTTTGTTTTTTTATCTATAAGCAAAAGTCTACTATATTTGGTGTTTGGAATGATTTTAAGGTGTACATGTATGTCTGCCAGGGTTTATCTGACCTTGACCTTATTGTCATCAATCATTGAGAAAGTTTAAGCATATGTGATACTTGCAGTAAAACCTTTTAAGACTTTCAACATTTAATCAATCTTGGTCAGTACAACAGGCTAGACATGTCAGTGTGTGCACTCTTGTAGTAGTTAAACTTGCATTTGAACACTTATATTGATGTGTAAATATGAGCAAAGTTTATTAAATGACATATACATTATTTGTATGTATTACTAATAAAATAGAAAATACCACAATATATATCTAAAGAACTGGGTAAGAATCAATTTCAATATTTTTAGACATTGTGTTTTAGCTAAAGCCACTATGTTGATATTTAATAGAAAAAAACAATTATTCCATGTATCTTATTTTTAGAGTGCGGAAGTCAAATATTTCTTACAGTAAACCATCATGGCTCCCTCATGATTCAGAAGTTAGGGACCTCCAGTTATTTGTTGGTAAGTTGTAAGTCTTTAGTATTAACTGGAAATAAACATTTAAAAAAACTTAGGGAGCAATAGACATTTAAAAACTCCTTGTACTTGTCCACTACCAATATACATTATATTTTTTAAATAGGAAGTTTCTCAAAGTTGTGAGAGTTGGATGAAACAAAGGTTACATGATTCAAAGATTTTAGAAAGGATGTACTGAGAATTGGTTCTAATAAAGAAAATTTAGACATTGAAAGGTGAAACTAGTTTCACTAAGGTCCTATATTTAGAAGGTTTTCATTATTGATATACTAAACCCAATCATTGTTTGAAATTCAAATAGATATACTTTCAAATTGTTCACACAGAACCAAACATGAAATGTTTATCTAATAAATACAAACACTTGTTGAAAAGAAAGCTATCCAGTAAATGGGCAGCAAGTTTTATTAACACAATTAATGTTCAACAAAAAAGCTTGCTGAACACTGTGGATTAAGCCTTGGTACATAGTCTACGGATTAAGCTTTGGTACATAGACAGTCTACCAAATAAAAGTACAACTTCTAAATACATGTAAATGATAAATTACATAATCTGTACGATACACAAATATATTATGTGGGGGTGGGGGTGGGACTGGTAGGAAAGAATTCAATAGATCTTTGTTGCACTGACTACAAGCTTCAAAACTTTTCATACATAAAATACTTGTTATTAACATAATAATTTGTGAAAAATCACAATAATCGACTAATCGACTTTGGATACTATCTGACAAAATAATATCATAAACCTGTTTAATATTAGAAGGCACCATTCAGATTACTGTATTTTTTTTTACTTTCGTGAGTACAAAATAACGCGAATATAAATTGTTGTGAATATGTAAAACTTGGATCTTACCTTATTTAACTACATCATGTTAATTTGAAAATCGCATAATTTCATTGCAGTGAAGTGGACAAAAAGTGAAATAAAGTATAAGAAATGCTTTTAGTAAACATACAGGAATAACTATTTAAACCTTAACATGTGTTTGTCTAACTTGAATAAATACATATATATTCAAAACATTCAACAGATTTTATATGAAAAAAATAAATAAAATTACAGAGTACATATTACCATAGTAAATGTCCATGTTTTGGATTACTCGACAAAGTTGTTTCATCTTAACTTACACTCTTCCCTGAAGAAAACATTTGATGCTTTTGTTTTTAATTTTAAAGTACATGTTGACATGTATATCATTGGGAAAAAAAAAGATTATGAAAAATGCATAAATTTTTATTTAGTATGCTGGAATTTGACTTTTGTATTTTGAAGCAATACAAAGGCTGATATTGCTTGTACTGGTATATGATGCCATCAGTATATTGAGGTATCAACACTTATATCAGATATTCAAACCATAGTAATAAAGACATGGTTTATTACAGATAGAAAGTATGAGACTGTCATCTTACCTGTCTTTGGTATACCAACACCATTTCATATTGCTACAATAAAGGTTTGTATCAACTGAAAGTATATACTGCTAATTAGTGTCTGTTGTTTTAGAAATTTATACCTGTGTGTTATAATATGAAATATATTGGTTTGGCATGATTTAATATGGATAAGTATTCAACACAGACCAAATGACAAGAAAGACTTTACATTCTAATTAAGAAGCCCCATGTGAGAACAATTAGATTTCAATATTTTGAGAATTTTTGACGTATAATCATTAATAAACTGAGGTTTACATTTGCTTAATCTATACTAGTCCCAGTAATTACTAATTAATTGGACACTACTATTAAAATTTCTCGTTTCTTTTTTATATCATCATGCTTTATTGAATTCAATACCTTCGTTGTTTTTAAACATGTATTTTATGTTTGCTTTTCTTTTTAGAACATAAGTCAGTCAATAGAAGGCGACTACACATATCTCCGTATAAATTTCTATCATCCTGGATCATCTCTTGGTAGAAATGAAGGAAATGTTTTTCCTCAACCAGATGCTACCTTCCTTAAAGAAATGTAAGTAGATTTATATAACATTATATAACATTTATTTTACTTTAACTTACATAATTAAGGATCACATATGGTAATTTGTATGTCATTGAATAATTGAACAATGAAAAATGAAGCCAAAAAAGCACAGGTTCATGAAAATTATTGTAAATTTGTAATTTAACAAAGAATGTTTACATTTATTGAAAGAATTCTTGAAGTACTTTAATCTAACTTAGAAAATCATGCTTTCAAACCCTTATATATCCACCTTAAGGGTTGTATAGGGTATGAAAATATGGTAATTCCTGGCAGGAAAACCTATACTAAAGAGAAGTGTCCTTTCAGCTGTTCCAGATGTCAAATTTTACACACTCTTCTCGTTATAGAACAAATTTTTTTCCTATATCCAATATATCCCCATTTTCAAGTGGCATTCAAAACTCCCGCCCTTCATTCCCCTTGACCCACTTTGAAGAACCTTCCTATTGGATTACATTGTTAATTTGTTCTCGTCCTGAATTTGGAAGAATTATAAATAAGCAAAAAACAATCAATCACTCTTAATAACAATGGCTTTTCTCCTAATGATAAAATTAAGTCATGAATAGTGCAAGACAACAGGACCTTGAGCAATGATCATAATACATTCTTCTTCTTTAGTCCTCTTCATGCATTCTTGTACATGAGGTCATCATAAGTGCCCTCCACTGTTGCCCCTCTTGTTCCTTATCTATGCCTCTCTCCATGTCTTTCCCATGCTTCTCAGTTCTATAAGTGTACATAATTTCAATACAAAAAATTAAAAAAGTTAATAACTATATCAGTTTCCATCATTAAAAACTTCCTCTAAGTGGAATAATTCTTTCACATATCACTACCAAGTACAGGTAGACACTTGGTTAGGGGACTATTCTAAGTGTTTAAACATGATTAGAAATATTGAATTGTTTTATCTTACAGTACCTACAGAAGTTCAAACACCAAAGAGCCAGGAGAAATATCTGCTCCATCATTAAATTTGAATACAGCATTCAGATTGATTAAAGAAGTACAGAAAAAGTTTAAAACCAGAGAGGCAGAGGAAAGGGAAAAAGAGGTAAGAATATATTCTTTGGATTGACAAGTTTTTTTTCTTCTTTGCCCAATCAAAAAAGGAGCAATAGTGCTACTTGTATGTTCATTCATACATATGCGATTTACGGTGATTTAAGATATTGCTCAAAACTTTTTTGTCAGGGGATACATACCTATATATTAGAAATATGAATATAAAATTATCCTGATTTAGTATTGAATCGGTTAACAATTTGTTACAAAAAGTTCACTTGCCATACCTGAGTGAAATTAGAATTGTCCAATTGTAAAAAGTAGTTTTGAACCGTACAGTAAACTTGCTTGTAAATTGTTTCTGTTTGAAGTAAAATTGATGGGTAAATAAAATTGATGGTTGACTTACAGTATTTGCTATTAAAGCATGTACTGTAAAATAAATTAATGGTGACCTATTATTGCAATAAAGGAAGATAAAATATAAAGGTAATATGAGATATTTATGTGAATGTGACCATTTGCACAATCAAATCTGTATATAAAGGGCTCTCAAGTAAAAAGAATTTTTGTTTCATATGAACTTCTGCCTTTTATATGGAGTTAGTTTTATAATTGTATATTTTTCTGGTGACTCATAGGCAATAATTGCTAATGTTCATTTTACATGGTGCAATATTGTTATGTTTCATTTCTTTATGATTATCTTCTAAAGCTTACAACGATCAAAATGATCAAAATTTGATGGGTTAAGCTAAGGTTAAGTAATTTGAACATATATTATTTGTCATATTTCTTTTTTGTTTTTATTTTTTCTTTTAAAGACAATCTCATGTTTTTCTTTAAAGGACAATCTCATGTTGGTATTAATAAAAAATATAAATGAGAAAAAAAATGCAAACCTCAACTTTTATTTTTAGATGTATTTAAAAATATATGACAAATATGATAAAATTGAAATATAATCAATTAATAATCAATTATGTACCTCAGTTTTATTGTGTTAAGTGATTATGTTTTTTTGCCTATTGTCCAACACTACACATATGATGATACATATTCTTTATATTATATTTATTTTCAGGGTATTGTTAAACAAGACACACTTGTTATCAATCCAAACAGAGGAAATCCAAAATTAAAAGACCTATATATCAGACCAAATATTGTATCAAAGAGAATCTCAGGAACATTGGAAGCCCATACAAATGGTATAGTTACTGTTAATTGACAGTTTATGGTGTTTGATTGAAAAAGAACAGATCAGATACTTTCGTCAATTAGGTTATTATCCCCTGTAACTCAGAGGACATAGTTATTGTTTTCATTTGTCCTTGGAAACACAACAATACTCAGAAACTGCATGTCAGGAAAGCTTTCCTACTATGCTGTCAGTTTGAGATGACAATTTTTGGGGAGAAATAGGACTTTGACCATGTTTTGTCTCCCCTGTGACGACAGTCTTGGAATTTAGTTGCTGTAAGCTTTACTTAGGGATTGCTTTTCCAGCTACGGCTCAGGTGACGGCGTCAACAATTGCTGAGTTTTCTGCTTAAGTTAGTTTGATAGAAACTACTTGTGATAGATCATTGATATTTAATACAAAGTTGCATTACTATCAGTACATATCAGTTTGACGACTTTTTTGAGGCCCTGCCCCTAGGACATGGTCCAGTGACTGAATTAAATAGCAATTTTCAATGTTAAGTTTTCTGCTTAAGTTAGTTTGATAGGATCTACTTGTGATAGATCAATGATATTTTGTATGAAGTTGCATTACTATCAGTTCATATCTGAGTTTGATGACTATCTTGAGGCCCTGCCCCCTAGGTCATGGTCCAGTGACTTTGAATTTTTTAGCAATTTTCAATGTTAAGTTTTTCTGCTTAAGTCAGTTTGATAAGAACTACTTGAGATAGATCAATGATATTTTGTATAAAGTTGCATTACTATCAGTACATATCAGTTTGACAACTATTTTGAGGCCCTGCCCCTAGGACATTAAAAGGCAATTTTCATTGTTAAGTTTTTCTGCTTATGGTTTATTGATAGGAACTACTTACAATAAACAACAATATTTTCTATGAAGTTAAATTACTTTCTGTACATCTAAGTTTGTCGACCATTTTCAGGCCCTGCGCACCAGATCATGGTCCAGTGACTGAATTATTAAGCAATGTTGCTGTCCATCAGATTGTCTTTTTCTGAATTTTATGCCGATAGGCGAGACATATCTCTGTGTTAACAGTTTATTTAATTTTTATAACACAATAACACCTTGTGAATTCATCTCCTATGAGACCATTTGCCGGCAAGTTTGTACTTGGTATGATCTATAACATTGGCTTTCCAAATATTTTGGCCTCCAGCATTTCTGAAGAGACATTATTTGTCAAAATTTACATCTAGGACAGTAAAATTGGTACTGTTTAATGTTAGTGTATATCTATGTCAACAGATATATTTGGTGCAGTTTAATTGGTACTGTTCAATGTTATTGTTTATCTATGATTACAAACCTTTTGTTTCTTTATAGGATTTAGGTTTACTTCAGTGAGAGGAGATAAAGTTGATATCCTATATAACAACATCAAAAATGCTTTCTTCCAGCCTTGTGATGGAGAAATGATAATCTTGCTACATTTCCATTTGAAGGTAAGGAAATTCTCTGTAATAGATACCTTACAGTTTGAGGTAGCGATTAAAATTACCCAATTCATACTCAAAACAGCATTGCTCTCTGTTTGAAATAAAATTTTAAAGGCCTATATCCTTTTGGGAAATATTGGCTATGGCTTTTGACCAAAATAAATTTCTAACACACTCATTTAGATGTAAAAATTTTACCAAAACATTACTTTGGCAATGCATGTGGCAAAGGCTGTCTGAAGCAAAAACTATCCCAGTTTATACAAAAAATTGATCAAAATTCTGATTCAAACACCAATGTGTTCAATTATGACATTATGATGACATCATTACTGACAGTATTTCTTAAAGTTTGTTGATGTTGTATTCTGCAGATACTTTTATACTTTTTTATACGCCCGTCAATTTTTGACGGGACGTATTATGGTATACAAATGTCCGGTGTCTGTCCGTCCGTCTGTCTGTCCGGCGTAAACATGTCGCACCGTAACTTGAGAATGACTTATCCAAATTTCATGAAACTTAACATAGTTGTTTCTTATGATGGTCAAACGATCTGTATACTTTTTGGTGAAAATAAGATTAAAACTTTAGAGTTACGGGACTTAGTAACTAAAACAGGTGTGTGTTTTTTTTCACATGTCGCGCCGTATCTCAAAAACAATTTATTATTATTGCTTAAAACTTTACACACTTCTTAGTTATATTAATCTTAAGATCTGTATACTTTTTGGTGATGATTCAAAATTTTATTTTAGAGATATTGAGTATTTTGTTAAAAAAGGGGGAGGGGTTTTTCACATGTCATGGCGTATCTCAAAAACAGTTTATGATTATTGCTTAAAACTTTACACACTTCTTAGTTATATTAATCTAAAGATCTGTATACTTTTTGGTTTTGATTCAAAATTTTATTTTTGAGATATTGATTTTTTTTTTAAAAGGGGGGTTTTCACATGTCGCGCCGTATCTCAAAAACGATTTATGATTATTGCTTAAAATTTTACACACTTCTTAGTTATATTAATCTAAAGATCTGTATACTTTTTGGTTTTGATTCAAAATTTTATTTTAGAGATATTGAGTTTTTTGTAAAAAAAAAAAAGGGGGTTTTCGCATGTCATGCCGTATGTCAGAAACTATTTATGCTTATTGCATAAAAATTCACACACAAGACGACGGGCGTATCATGCGCTCATGGCGCAGCTGTTTATTTCATCAAAGTATGATAATTTCTAAATTTATATTTCATGATATTTTAGGGTCAATATTGATCCTTTATGAACCCAGTCTTTAGGAAATAAAAAGAAAATCCACTTCCGTTTAAATAAAAAAGGAATGAAAATAATTTGGTCATGACATGTAGATTGAACTTTATATAGAGAGGATATTAAATGAATAAACAGAGGTTTCAATGATTTTATAATATTATGCAGCATGCCATTCTGTTTGGCAAGAAGAAACACATTGATGTAGAGTTTTACACAGAAGTTGGAGAAATCACAACAGATCTTGGGAAACACCAGCACATGCATGACCGTGATGATTTACATGCTGAACAGGTATGTAGGAGTTTACTGATATGTCAACCTAATTAAACACTTCTATTGGCAAATAGTGAAATTAGAAATTCTATTTGTTAATAAATTTTTACTTCAATTTTACATTTATAATATTTTTAATGTGTTGAAAAAAAATCTATTAATCTGTACAATTATAGTGGTAGGTTTTTTTTTTTATGTTTGTTGCCTTTATTTTACTTTGAATTTTAAAGCATATAATATTATTAGGTTTCTGCAAATGAGTTTTTATTCAGAAAGAGGTATATATAGTATACTGTTTTTAAAATATTTAAAAAAAATCATTTTTGCACCACTGCAGTTAATTAATAATTTTTTACTGTAAAGGCTGAGAGAGAATACAGACAGAAGTTAAAGTCTGCATTTAAAGGTTTCTGTGAAAAGGTGGAAAACATAACAAAACAGGAGGTAGAATTTGATACACCATTCAGAGAACTAGGATTCCATGGAGTACCATTTAGATCCACAGTATTGTTACAACCAACTAGTGGATGTCTGGTTAACCTTGTAGAGTGGGTAAGTAGAATTGGCCCAAAGCAACATGGAATCAGTGCTATTCACTGTGTACAAGAGGAGGAGTGTAGAGATATGGCAGCAAAAATGTCATACTGTTGATTCATTTATTTCCGTGGGTACCAATTTTTATGATTGAGGAAAACTTGCTTGTTCATTGATATTTGATTTCATGGTTTTGCCAGTCTGCATACAACCTTACTGAGAATTGCAATTTGTTGAACATTTAAATTTTGGTTCGCCTTTATCTTTCGAAAATTGGAGTTCAACAAATGATAGTGCATCCACAGTAGTCTTTAATTACTGTGCCTTGCATAAATAAAGGAAAACTCACCAGCAGTCTAATAGAATGGCTTTTGAAAAATAACAAGCTTTTTAAAAAAATACTGGAAATTGTCAACTGATTTGTTTTCCTTCCCAATCACTTCAGCAGTTCAAATAGAATTGACACCGCATTGTACTATATAAAGTATACATTTATGGCCGAATCAGTTGTACGTATGTGGAACTTGGTAAAAGAGACTTCAGAAACTATTGAACCTAATTCCTGATTGGACAGTTTGAAAGCAATTACATTTAACAGGACACTTTTCAAATATACTGTAAATCTGTTGTAGCATGCTCAAGGCAACTTTCATTTAAAAAAAAATGAATTTCTTTTTGTTTAGCCTCCATTTGTGATATCATTAGATGAAGTTGAATTGGTGCATTTTGAACGTGTGCAGTTCCATTTGAAGAATTTTGATATGGTATTTGTGTTCAAAGATTACAGTAAAAAAGTAGCAATGGTGAACTCAATTCCAATGCAAATGTTGGATCATGTCAAGGAATGGCTGAAGTAAGATTTATATTTGTAATAGTTTCATAAAAAGTTGACATGATATCTTTTTTATAGAAAAATTATTAAAGGGCCAAGTGAGCTATTCTCATCACTTGGTGTACTTTGTCGGTTGTCTGTTTACTTTTACATCTACTCTTAAACTCCTTGGCCAAATTTAAACAAACTTTGCCACAATCATCATTTGGGTATATAATTTAAAAAATGTGTCCAATAACCCTCCCTGCCAACTAACATGGCCGAAATGTCTAAGAATAGAACATAGGGGTAAAATGCAAGTTTTTTCTAATATCTTGAAAACCTCAATAGAGAGAGAAAATTTGACAGTACATAAATACTAATGTTGAGATCTGCCTACTGTTCATTTTTATCTAAAATGAGACAACTTCTTATTGGAGTTATTGCCCTTTAAAGACAATTTTTACCTTCTTTTTGTTTTGTTTGACCTTATATCTTGAAAACTATAATAGAAAGAGAAAAACTTTAAATAGCAGAAATGATCCACAAGACAAGATCTACAAATAAGGTGATATTTCTGAAATCATTTTCAAATCTTTAAGAGGTGTTAATGCCCTTAAATTACAATTTTAACCATTTTGGGGTGCTTTTACCTAATGTCTTGAAAACTAATTGATAGATAGAAACTTTAAAACTTGAAAAATATGAGCAAGACAAGATCTGTAAATAGGTTGGCATAGATGATATAGTCAGTCATGAATTATATTCTAGTTTACAATGTTGGAGAGTATCCATTGTTGAAGATACAAATAGACCTAGATGAGCGACACATGCTCTTTAGAGCCTCTAATTTTATTTTTTTTATGTAATGTTATTAGTCATTGTGATATGGTAAAAATTTCATCATAATAAGTGGGGGGCCTTAGTGGGCGAGTGGTCCAAGTAGTCGAACTACTGTATCACTAGCCTATCAACACTGAGGATGTGAGTTCCAATCCCACATGTGGCAGGTGGCAGGTGTGCTCGACTCCAATCTTAATTTACTAGGATTGTTAGTTTTCCTACCAAAGGTCAGTGGTTCTCTCCAGGCATTTCTGGCTTCCTCCACCATTAAAAATTGACAGCCACGAAATCACCAATCAGTCAATCATAATAAGTGATTAGTTATGTTGTTAAAATTGAGAATAATGTTAAGCATTTGTACAAAAATTTGAAACACAGTTTAATTTGATTGTAATTGAATTTTCTCCCAGTTGATAAGAAGTAACTATACTATGGGACATAAAGTTGTAAACTTTGATCTAACTTATTTATTCTTTTTAAAAGTACCTGTTAGTAAATGATTACTAATCTATGTCTTATTCATTTGATAGTTCCTGTGATATTCGATACTCAGAGGGAGTTCAGAGTTTGAATTGGTCTAAGATTATGAAGACAATTACAGATGATCCAGACGGATTCTTTGACAGTGGTGGATGGTCTTTCTTAGACCCAGAAAGTGATGTAAGTGCAATTACATCTATCACAGAAAATTATGTTTGCTCAGCTATAATTTTTTTCTGGTATAATTTTCCATTTTTTTTTTAGTAAATGCATTTTACAAAACTCTTGAATAATAGAAAAGAAGGGATATGGGATATCCATCCATGACACAAAATCAGTACATGCACAGCAAAAAATACAAAAAGCTAAAGAACAGCACTTTTATTGCTGTTCTTCATCTCAAAGTCACAGTGAGGCCTTTTTAGTTTAATAACTTCACATAGTTGTTTCATTATGAAAAAAAAAGATGTTGTATGATGGCTTATGAGACAACTCTCCCCTAGAAATTAGCAACTACAAGTCACTGTATGGCCTTCATCAATGAGCAAAACCCATACTGCTTGGCTAGCTTTAATAGGCCCTGAAATGACAAATGTAAAACAACTCAAACGAGAAAACCAACTAATAATTAGACTATTTTTGATTATATTTGGCAAACCAAGTATTTTGTTTACCACAGGCTGAAGCTGATGATGGTGATGATTCAGAAGAAGATGAACATTATGAACCCTCTGGCGATGATGATTCTGCTGAGGAAAGCAGCGATTATAGTGAGGAAAGTGACTGGGAAGGAGAAGAGGAAGACTCAGGTATGTCATATGATGATGGATTAGGTAGAGCAGAAAAATTTCCCATTCACTCTCCTCTTCTGGCTCAAAATTGTTTCCAGAACAATTCCCAGTGTTAAATTTGTGTCGTCAGTTCCAAAACCATTGTACAAAAATGTATCTCAAGTCTTAAGGAATATGATATTTAGTGCAAGGAAATTGTATAATCTGTAACGTAAAACAATGATAGATGCATATTTTTAAAGGTACATGTAAAAGAATGTCAACTGTCAGGTTATCTATTCCCCACGAAAGTCCCATTTAGACCATGAATTTTATTGAAAGAGTGTGGAGCTCTCTACCTTGGGGCCCATCTGAAACTTCCATTTATGATTAAAATTATACATATGATTATACACAAACATTTGATAAAGGAATTGTTTTAAATGTTAGAAGTATCAACATACACAGTATTTTTTTTTTTACTTTGTAGAAGAAGGAGAAGACGATCTTGGTTCAAGTGAAGAAAGTGGTAAAGATTGGGATGAACTTGAAGAGGAGGCAAGAAGAGGTATTTTCAATTTAAAACCAGTCTATAGACTGTATAAATTATTAGGTTTTCTAGCTCTTGATATTGTAAAATACCAGGCGTGAGCCACAATGTTAAGCTTTTTGTAAGTCTCAAAGCGAAAAAGCTTCACATTGTGTCGAGTGGGTGATAATTTACAATATCTAGGTATAGAAAACCTGATAATCTATTTATCGCTCCACTACTTTCTTTTCCCCTCCTTTAGTCAGTTTTAGGCTTGATGAAAGTAAGCTTGGTAACGTCTCATCACACATTGTGCATTGCAGATGATGTTTGCTCACGTCTCAAAGCCGTAATACGAGAATTATGTAGCGACTGAGCAGGGTGATATAGGTGAAGGGAAGAACGATAACAGGGAATATAAACAAATATCACTTGTCTTAGTTTCAGAAATAAAAAAAAAATAACAGTAATGTCAATATTGCATCAGATTTAATTTGCAAAAAGTGCTTTAATCTAATCTATAAAGCTGCTATTTAAAAGAATAACAAATGTGAATGGAACCTCAAACAAGGGATATAAGTCTAGATAATTTTGTGAGCTTTCTAGTTCAGTAAAATCTGGTTTCTGACATATATAACAGATTATCTAACCCTTTAAGAAAACTTGAGGGCTATTCCATTACAACAAACCTTTAAACACAAGGAAGCAGACTATTTCTGAGTTAATTAGGAAATAATTGATGGCAGCTTGAGATTTGTTTCATTTAACCATGGGTTGGGCATTTATATTCATTATTTTATCCCTAGCAAAGCGAGTGGTATAATACAGATGTATATGCCCAACCCATGGTTAAATGAAAATAAATCTACGGCTGCCATGAATTATTTTGATTCTGATAGGACAAATACGGTAATTTTGTCAACCGTGTAAGTCCTATGCACACGATACTGTTTTGGCTGTCCCATTTAACCCCCATATAGTAATATTAATTTATTAAATAATAAATTAAAAAAAAACTTACATTTTTCACCTAAAAATGTTCTTTTTATCTTATTGTATTACACACAAGAAGCCTGAAATTGCCTGGTGTTAACATTTGATGCCGGAAGCATACATATGATGTCACTTTGTTTAGTTGCCATCATTTTGCAGAATTTTTGTTTTATGAAATTTAACACGGAAATAATAACTGAAATGGACTGATTTGTTTATTTTGTATAAGAATAGAGATAACCGTATTGTATTTGAAGCTTGGCCGATGTAAAACGTAGGTTTTACTGTAGCAAATTGAATTTACCTGGTCGTATAAATAAGGTGGGCGTAATGTTGAACAGCCAATGATGTATGTATAATGATATTTAGGTTGTCATATTAGAATCACTCATTAGATTAATGGTGTTTGTTGATGGCTGCTTAACATTCAGCAGCAAAACCACTAACGGAGGGGATATTCAACTTTATGTACTATTCTGTTACTAAGGTGATGTTTTAAAGTTCATTGGGCAGAGAAATGATTCCAATGTGCCTTTGTGGGATGTGATGATGTTAGATGGAATAGCCATTGTAGACTAAATTATATTATAGATGCTAATTTTAGCTCACCTTGCCTACAAGGCCATTTGTGCATGCATTGACCATAAATTCTAAATTCATTTTCTTCAAATTTGTCATGAGTTCTAATTGTTGTGATATTGTACCTTTCTTAAAATATTGCATCTTGAATCGAAGTGAACCAGGCATTTGAAAACCAGAAGGAGGGATGCTAGATGACTAATATTTATCAGTATAATTTGTAAAAAGATATGGTTGTTTTGTCCAAGGATGAGCTTAATAATAATGAAAAATATGGGTATTTTATTTTAGTGTAGTGCTTCATTTCCAATTAGGCCAATTTTGCCAAGTAGTAGATAAATAATCAATAATAATGTAGGGTCATTGCATAAATACAGAGGAATGTTGTCCTGAACTGTATTTCATATTGCATGAGCTTGAGATATATGTTATGAGGGACAATACTAGTAAAATTGAGAATGGAAATGGGGAATATGTCAAAGAGACAACAACCCGAACAAAGAGCCGAAGGCCACCAATGGGTCTTCAACACAGCGAGAAAATCCCGCACCCGGAGGTGGTCCTCAGCTGGCCCCTCAATAAAATTGTGTACTAGTTCAGTGAAAATGGACGTCACACTAAACTCCAAGACATATAAATGAACTAAAATTAAAAAAATATATAAGATTAACAAAGGCCAGAGGCTCCTGACTTGGGACAGGCGCAAAAATGCGGCGGGGTTAAACATGTATTGTGAGATCTCAACCCTCCCCCTATACCTCTAGCCAATGTAGAATAAAGAAACACATAGCAATACGCACAGTAAAACTCAAAAGAAGTCTGAGTCAGATGCAATAATTCTTAAAATATAGTACCAAATATTTCAGGAACATTGATATCTTCATATAATTCCTGCAGCACTAATGCCTGCAGTAAAAAAATAATGTCAATTTTGGCCATCTTTTTTATCCTTTGCTTGCTAGCGTGCAATAATGGTTTTAGTCAAAACATCTCTAGTGCTTTTCAGACTTTTAAGGGGAAAGATTGGAATGCAATATCAGTCAAGATGCAATATTTTAACTTATCAGAAATTCTCTACTTTTAAGGTAGACCAGTAAAAATATTCACAAGTATTGCATCTTTATTTTACAGAAAAATATACATGAAATATTTGATTCTATATACTGTGGATTCATTATTATTTGTTGGATACCAATTTTTTGTGGGTATAGGTGAACCGTGAAACTGACCTTTCAATTCTCAAGACTAGATAGGTATTTTATAGGATAATATCCTTTTTAGATAAAAGAAAACAAAGGATATGGGGTATCCATCCAGGACACAAAATCAGTAAATGCACAACAAAAAAACATACAAAAAGCGAAGGAACAGCGCTTTTATTGCTGTTCTTCATCTCAAAGTCACAGTGAGATGTCAACATAGAATTGTAATCTGGCTGATACTGGTGAATTTCAAGCAACCATAAATGATCAAGGAATTACAAATTTTCTATTGGCTAGTGTGCAGACATTGGCAAAACCATGAAATCAAATATCCTCGAAAATGCAAGTTTCCCTCCATCCACGAAAATTGGTACCCAAGAAAATAAATGAATCCAAAGTATATAAAATACATTTATGATTCTATTTTCTCTATTTTAGCCGATGCTGATGCTGAGAATCCGTATGCTGAGGCAGCACCTGCAAGACACATATCATCTAAACATCACCACAAATCATCACATCACCATAGCAGTAGTAGTAGCCACCACAAACCCAGTAGTGGTAGCCACCACAAACCCAGTAGTGGTAGCCACCACAAACCCAGCAGTGGTAGCCACCACAAACCCAGTAGTAGTAGCAAACGTAAACGGTCAGATAGTGGAAGTCACGATAGAAAGAAAGATAAAAAGAAAAGACATTAAAATAATGAAAACAAATTGCGAATATTTATAACGCAATAAGAACATAAGAACAAATGATCAAAGACAAAATAAAAGCAAAAGTTGTAATTAATATGTAAAGTATATGTTGTTTGAAATCTTATACTAGTGTCTCACTTTTTCTGATATACTGTTAGACAATTTAAAAACTATGAGTATCATGAGTTATGTATATACTTAAAAAAAATCTTTACTGGTTTCATCATAGTGTACTTATGTATTATATTACCAAATAGCCCAGGATATTGAATTATTACATAAAAGACCGTAGGTTGTATATGTAGAGAATGTGATATCCACCTGAATATAAATACTTAAGTTGTCATTTTTGCTTTCCATGCAATATGAATAATGTGAGGAGACGCATATGGACTGTCAGGGGCCAAACAAAGGATAAAAATGAACAGAAAGTTTATAGTGCTTGTATTCTGTTAATAAATACATAGTTTCATCAAAGGGTTTTATTTTATGCCAAATGAATTCAGTTGAGAAAACATCAAGCCTTTTTACAATTTAAATAGATAGACTTTTTTGAAAAATTCTAGTACATACATTATAATTGCAAAATCAATTACCATAGTGATTAGAACTGTGGAGGAAGGAATAGGTTCGGGTTGTTGGTTCACAAATCTGTGTTCACGCTTGTTGATATCAGAGTTATACCCTTGTCCCTCTGTTCGTTTATTTGTCTGTACGTCCCAAAATTAGTTTCCATTCTCTAACCTTAGTTCGCCTGAACTAAATGTTATAAAACTTATACACAATGTTTATTACCACCAAACACAGATCAAGTTTGAATTTGGGTGGTATCACTTTTGCCTTTCTTGAGTTATGTGCCTTTGTAAATTGAAAAATTGCAGAATTTGCCGTATATTTTAAAGAAAGGGCATCTGTGTTCCATGGACACATTCTTCATTTATTTTCTCTGTGAGTTATCAATTCCATTCACTAATATAACTGTTGTTATAGGACCTGTGACAAGCTGAATTTTATAACAAAACTTTATGATGGCTACATCACATCTAGTTCTTAATTCTCTCTGGTCACTGCAGCTACCTCCACCAATAAAATCTGACTGCCATGACCAACAGTCAATCTTCAATCAATCTATTTCTTAGCCTATTGGAGCAAATTTGCTAATTTTTTATGCCCCTGCCTCTAGGAAAAGGTGGCATTAAGTGTTACACATGCCCTTCCATCTGTCCCATTTTCGTTTCCACATTCTTAACTGTTTTCCTCATCCAAATTTTATTAAACTCATACACAATGCTAAGAACAGAAACTCATGAATTTTGTCAGTGAGTGACTTACTGTTTAGATTTAGCCCCTTTATAACTTGGAATATTGCAAATTTTTCGTTTCCGCACTCTAACTTAAATTTGCCTCATTCAAATTTTATAAAACTCATACACAATGCTAAGATCCAGAGTTCGAATTTGTGCAGTGATTCACTTTTTTTACTAGCGTTATGCCATATCAGAAAACTTATTACATAAGATATAAAAACACAACAGTGAAAATATGAAAATAACACACAGTACAAAAATACCTAAGACTAGAACAATGGAACTCTTTAAAAACTAGCAGTGACATCAAATACTCTCAAAAAGTATTTTCACATATAAGCAAGCTGGAGGGGGGACATTTGTGTCTTCAAGACACATTCTTCTTTTTTATTAATCAGTTTAGTGCATTATGTATGAAACTGCCCCTTATTAATAAAAGCAAAACTGGTCCATTACAGACAAACAGCATTAATACAGGGCCATTATGAATAAACAGGACCATTATGGAAAAACAGTTCCAATATGAATAATCAGGGCTATTACAGATTTTCAGTTATTATCAATTCAAATACATTTCTGGGGAAAAGAAACATCAAGAAATTGAAAGTTCCCAAGAATCATGACTTATCTTATTTGAAATTGTTGTCAAGTTAATAACTACATAATACATTCTCAATTTATTTAATTTTGAGTTTTAAAATCCAGAATGAAATTTTGTACTATGTATGCCATAAACATGATAAATTGCTTTGAATAGGACAACAATACAACTACATTTATATTAATATTTACATGATATTCCATCACATCAACTTTCTTTTTAATATTACATTTGGTATAATTATATATACCGGTATATAGATTCTTACATTTGTACCAGTGGATTATTGGATTTATCCAATCGAGATAGTTAGAATTGATAATTTAACTATCAAGATTGGATAAATCATATAATCAATGAGTAACTATGAACAAATTTGTTTCTCTAATAATTATCAAATAAATTTCCATTTTCATAAAGGAAAATCCCCTTCGAGTGCCTTCCACATTCCACAAATTTGTCAATTTCATTAACACCTGTTAGCATATTTTGATTCATCCTGTGAGCTGATAAAGGTTATGACCCTTAAACTCATCCAATCATCTTCTGAGATCATCGGCAACCACACGTTGTTTATACGATTATTCCGGATAGGGTTAAATTGCCACAGAATTAGAGAAATACAATTTCTCCACAAAAAAGTGATTTGGCTTGATTAAATATTACACATTGACTGTTTGGTTAATAAAAGTGTTAAGAAACGGGTGTTTTCAAATTGACCCTGTTATTTGTCTTCGGTCAGTAATAATGGCCTCGGAGGCTGTAATATCCCTCTGAGTTGTCTCATGCCATTACAGACATCCTCAACAATTATAACAGACCTTGGACATATAACAGGGCCATTATTAAATCACCCATTAATTAGTACTACATGTGATCCTGGTTAGCTCTTTTGTGGTCTTTCGCCATCATTTAGTATTTTGTCATTCGTCAGTGGCGGATCCAGAACTTTTCATAAGGAGGGGGCCCGCTCCAGTCATGCTTCAGTGATTCCCTATATAATCAAACAAATTTTTCCCACGAAAGGGGGGGCCAGGGCCCCCCCTGGAACAGCCTATGTTCGTTATGAACACTTTAAACTACTGTTGCACTGATCATCTAAAATAGTGATCCAATAAGCAATTTGCAACCATAAAGAATTATTTCATGTTCGACTTGTTCCTAGTTACTTTTGTTGCTTGCCTTTATATTGTGAGTGCATTAAGAAGTCATAATTTACCATGAAAATTATAGTCAACACCCCTCTGACATAATAGAATGGACCATATTGTTACCCAAAAATAGAGTTCATGTGACTGACTTGATGGACTCAATACATGTTGGTATTTTCAGAACCAAGTCTTTTGAATATGCACAGTTCTGAGGATTCATTATTCGAGGGGTACCAATTTTCTCACAGTTCTGTGGATTCAAAATTCGAGGTGTACCAATTTTCTTCGAATTCATAGGGATAGGTTATCACCATTTAAAATGTTCAATAAAGAACATATTTTTTATGAGCTTGTATGGAGTATTTAACAATACCTTGAAATTTTACTGGAAAAAATGGTTTTCGGATGGTTACTTGAGTTTCTCTAATTTCTTCACTATTTTCACATTTCCCAACAGATTGTGAAAAAATTGTTCTCCTCACTAGTGAAATAACTTCTCTGGTAATGATTAGTCACTAGTGAAATAACTTCTCTAGAAATGATAAGTCGAAATTTAATTATGACGTCAAATTTTCTTGGTTTCTTCTTAATTTCCTATTGTGACGTCATGAAAAAAGGCGACCATGTCTGATGACTAATCACTTCACATATAAAGAACACAACTTTCTGCAAATCTTTGAAAAGGAAGGATAAAAATCATTATTAAACAGATTCCACCACTATAACTTGTGTATTACGATATTTCTCCACTCTCAACAGTGAAATTTTAATTATTTAAAAAGCTCGGCAAGCCTCGCGCTTTAAATATTAAAATTTAACTTGTCTCGAGAGGAGAAATGTTGTAACAAACTTGTTGCAGTGGTGGAATCTATATTTCTTTTTCTTGATTAGAACGATACATATACTGATTGGGGGATATAGGGAGTGGAAATAAGCCTATTGAGTTTGAGGGTCAAAGGTCAATGTAGCTGTTACTATAAATAGTGAAAAAAGAATGGAAAATGGTTTCTGGATGGTACTTTTGAGTTTCCCTTGCTTGATGGGAAAGATTCTGATTTAGTGTAAACAATATTTTATTTTGAAAATAATAACGTAAACATTACAAAATGACAATTTTATTGGGATTGGAAAACAAGTGAATTTTCACTTATACAAATTCCTCTCCCAAATTCTGATTTAGAGCACTGCCTGAGGTTATAATGAACACCTGTCAAAAATTGACATGATTATTCAATTGCTACACACCCATACTTAATCCTAAATTACCCTTTAAGCTTACTCATGCAGGATGTCACACTTGTACTTTGAATATTCAATAATGAAGAAAAAAAACCTTATTAAAAAAAATTTACAATTAAATAAATAAATAAATAAAATGTAAAACGTCTTGAATATATACAATAATAAAAAAAAAACGATATGAATAAATATAAAAAAAAAATCAAAAACCGTCTGCTGTTGTGTATAATATGCATCCCCTCTACCAACTAATTTTTTTGGTGGGTAAAAAAGTGAGTATAATACATGACAAAATACGGTAGTTGCTTACATCCATCTTATTTGGACTCTTGTGGCTAGTTATCTCCTTAGCAATCATACCACGTCTTATTTTTATCAGGATATAATATTTTCTTGAAAGCTACTTTCAAATTGGTGATTAGAATAAATTATCTGACCTGTATGGCTTCCACTGGCAGACAGAGGATTTATATTGAAAGATCTCTGAAATGAAGTATCTAGAGAACTGCTAAATCAATTTAAGCCTTGTGAGGAATAGAGTTTTACTTTATGATTTGCCCAACACAGTTGACAGTCCCGTCAAGATATGTCAGGAGACAAATTCATGAAGGTATCCAAGAAATTACCAGTTAGCAAATACATCAATCATGCCCCTTTTACTTTGTTAAGGCAAAATATTAATGCTAAAACTGTTGATGTAAATTGCAGATTTTGTGTTCAAAAATTAACGTTGACAGAAAGGCCTGTTATTTATCCCAACTTATGAGATAAAAGTTATTTTAACAATAATTTTTTTTATATAAGGGAGCTACCATTTGATTTTTATGGGGGGGGGGGGGGGGGGGGCTAGGATGAAATTTAAAAAAAAAGACAGGACAGAGGTTTTGAGTAAAAAAAAAGGCCGGATGAGCAACTTGGCCAAAAAAAAAGGCAGGATGACAATTTATGTAAAATAAGTCAGGATAAACTATTAAAAAAAAAGGCAGGACCTATTAGAGAAAAAAATAAAAAGGCAGGACAGAGATAACAACTAAAAAAAAAGGCAGGACAAAATTTTTCATCCTAGCCCCCCACCATAAAAATCAAATGGTAGCTCCCTAAAAGACCTTCCATAAATCATTCCTTCAATATATTGCTTTGGTTTGTAAATCCATAGAAAGATCATAACAGAAAAGGACAGTAAATCTGATATCCTAGGTTGAGGGATTGTTGTACTCTGCATGTCAATCATCACCTCTTTTTTAAGGGTTTTCTAAATGAACTTTTGCACATCAAAAGGTCTCAACCTACCTAAAATGACATCATTGTTAGGTGGCAGACAAGTAGAAGATTACTTGCATATCCTTCCAGTACACCAGCTTTTCAGTTCCTCCTGAATTTGATTAATATAGACTTTGAACAATCAATAAAGTTCATAGATCTCATGTTTTCAATTGCAGCATGTTACAATTAAGAAGTCCTCACCTGAAGTCCTAACCTTTATATGTCTGTATGGGTTGCAGGACATTGTGTTGTCTTATAAGATAATATTTGCAAGGGAACCCGTAGGAAGGTTTACATGTAAGGATATTTTTGGTGCAAATTGTGAAAAAAATAAAAAATAAAATGACAACTACTTACCACCACCCCCACCTTTCCCTAAACAAGTTTAAATAGGAAGGTAAGAAAATGATAGTTTGCAAATATAGCTTATCACAGCATAAAGTTTATGAACCATTGAACTGTATATTAAAAAAATATTTTAAAACAAATATTACAAATTTTTTTTTTCCCATACCCAAAAAAGATGCATATATCTTTTTATAAAGTCAGAAAAAACCTCCATTCAGCTATAGATTGTGTTGTATTTGAGCAATATAAAACATTAAAACTGGTTATTTGTACATTTTATAAGGTTAAAGGGTAAGAAATATACTTTAATGCAGTCTTAGCCAAAAATAGAGGCTGTGAACTTATAGCCTTGCCCCATGCATTTTTGTTTTTCGGAAGGAAACTTTTCAATATTAAAACATGGTCAAGGTGCCCTTTATCTTAGAACTGTGTCCCTCTGCCCTTAAAGCTAGCTAGAACTCTAAATATCAGCTTTTTTTTTGCTGTCAAAATTTCTCTATCAAAGTTTCTGTGAAAAAAACTAAAAAAAAAATAGTAAAAATAATTTCAAGGGCAATAACTCCTTTAACATGTTTAAGGGTATACAAAACAGTTTTGATCCCAGTGATTTTTTACGAAAATTTGCAAACAAACTATTTTTCACCTATTCAATTCAAATATGTAATAAAAAATATGCCTTCATGTGCTACTTTAAGAGATAAATGGAATCAAAATTTTAAACATTTACTCAAAATTTCATTTTTTTGGACATTTCTATCCTTTGGATACACATACCTAACTTTTTTGTTTCAGAAGATAAACACAAGCGGATTTTTGTAAAAACATTTGGAAAATCTTCTTTACATAAGTATGCTCTAAATTTGTATAACAATACTCTGGAAATAATTAGCTTTAATCAAAGTTTCATGATTTTAGAAAAAAAACAGCATTTTTTTGCTGTATATTTATCTAATTTTAAAAATTTCATGTGAATTTTTCATAAAAATTGGTACAAATAATCTGCATATGTAATCAAACCTAATGCCATTTTAAAAAAGAGGGGTCCATGAACTCGTTTTCAAGTTAAATAAGTCTGAATGATAAAAATCAGTAAAAAAATGCATCTTTTCCCAATATGTTACAGTTTGACGTCGCGAAAAATAACATAAGTTAGCAACGTGATTACCTCCACTGTAACTGTATCGTATGCCCTAACGGGTTCAATTGGAAAATTCTGTTGTAGACTTATTGGTAGATCTTACTTTACTTTTTGCTATTAAAATTTCTCTATCTATAATTGTTTTCGAGATAACCAAAAACTGAGAAATTTCATAAAAAATATTATTTCAAGGGTATTAACTCCAAATTGGGTTGTCCAATTTGTCTGAAAATTTTCTAACTAATAGATATTGACCCGATGATCATTTTTATCCCATGTCAGTTTTGCTCTAACAGTTAATAAGTTTTGAGATATAAGCCAAAAACTGCATTTTACCTCTATGTTCTATTTTTAGCCAATATGGCCATGTTTGTTGACTGACCGGAATAAAAAAACACCCCATAAAAAACACTAACTGTATACTAGATACCATAAGGATCATTCAGCCCAAGTTTGGTTGAAATTGGTTCAATAGTTTCTGAGGAGGAGATCTTTGAAAAAGTTTAAGATGGCGACAATGAAGGAAGCGTAGTGATGGCAATAGCTCACATGGCCCTTTGGCCAGGTAAGCTAAAATTGTTCTAAATGCTGCATGCTTAGCAAAGCAAAAGCAAATAAAATGCAATCCTATGATTTGGTAAGGCAAGAGATTAAACCCATGACATCCTGCACTGAAGGAGTACACACTACCAAACAACTAGTGGAGAAGTACAAGTACAAGAAAAACTAATGCTATCACAATTTTATTACAAGGAACTTCCATACATTCTGTATTTACTGCTTATAAAACACAAGTAACAATATTTGACAAGATATTTCCCTTTTTCTCTATCACCCTGAAAATATTCTACAAGTATTAAAATCGCTTGTTTAATAGGTCAAAGCATACAAATTTATGACAGCTGTATGGAGTTTACATATACAACTGGACTAAAATCAGTATTTATACACTGCACGGCAGTAAAAAAGGACCAAGTACAGTTAACTAATGTGACTCAAATACAGACTGCTTTTCGGTTAATAATAAAGATGATGTTACTATTAAACTATTATGTTGCTGTCTGATGGTCTACTTTTATTATGATGATGATAGAGATCAGACTTTAATACACATCACTGTGTGCATAATCAATTATTATGTACAGATTTGTTTAAAAGTTACATAAATGCAAGACTACTGATTACTATATAAAATGGTACCATCAGAGATATATTTATATGAATAATTCCACTCAATACTGTTACCTTTATTCTTTTAATTTAAATTACAATTTTCAGGGAGTAGATTTCACACACTAGTCAACATATCTCTCCCACCCTCTTTTGAATAGCCTTACATATAATCATGATTATAATTTTTATCAGTCTTCTAATGTTTAAGTTAAACCAGAATCATGTGTAAACCTCTTTTTTGTATCAGTATATGTAATGAATATTCTTTGATAATTTGACCAATATAAACCTAATGATTGTCAAATCTGAACAAACTCTTTAGTCACAAAGGGTTACAGCTTAGAAAGATTTCACAGTAGATTGTACCCTGCTCAGTAGCTCCACAACTCTAGTATTAGGACATTGTGATGTAAGAGCAGAACTTATCAGTGACGTCACATTATTAGAGAACTTTTGAGCGTCAATACAATATGAATTTATCAAGCTTACTTCTGGTAGGACATACTAGCATAAAAAATGTCTTATCAGAGACTAAAAATTGAACAGAAATAGTAGGATAAACAGTTTTCAGGTTTTCTGCATCTAGATATTGTTAAATATCTGTCACTGGACACAATGCCAACTTGCCAAAAAGGTTAACATTGTGACACATGGCTGATATTTTATGATATAAATGTTAAGAAAACCCTTATATCTATACATAAAACACTGTAAACAATATTTACATTTGTATACTCACTCCCTGTCATGTTTGCTGACACTAAACAGTCACAAATCAATCCATCTGTATATGTCATATTATCATATTGTTATCAAATATCATACCATCTCTACAGCACTTAATAACTTTGTTTATGCATTTAAAAATATATGTATGCTTTGACACTTAATATTCATGCTTTTTAAAAACTGTTTCCTAAAATCAATTCCTTAAACTATAACCACCAAGTATATATTCATACATTATAAATTCTCATTAAACATTTGAATCTACTGAAAAGGAAATGAAGATCATACAAGTATATAAATTAAGAGTAGCACACACATTCCAAACATACTCTCAACATTTGTCCATTTTATATTTATATATATATTGAATAGTCATTGCAATGTTGGAATAAAATAAACATACATTCTCAAACATTCATCATTTAAACATTTCAAAAAATGCATGTCAGTTAATAGGTGTACAAAGAAGTATCTGTTTGAGCATTTGTTTTCCTTTCTTATTACATATGTAGAAAAGTTGTCTGACATCACATGTTAGATCATAACATTTCTTTTTATAATATTAAACATGGTTATTACCAAAATAACCCTGCAATCAAGCACTTTTATTAATACCAAATTAAGATATTGTGATATTTAAGGACTGTCAGAGAACATAACGGTATATAATTCATTAAAATCTTTGCCATTTTTTTTTTGAAAGGTGAACAAATTTGCATTTTGGTAGGTTGCAAGTTCACTATATCTACAACCTTGGCTACTTTTACACAGTCAATGCTAAATTCAACATAATTCTATAAATACATTCTGATATAAATTTCCATTCAGTTTCACACATGAGATTTAAAAAAAAAACTATTCTTTTTTGTCAAATCAAGAAATCACCAATTTATGTGATTTTAAATCACCTTCTTCTGAACAATGTTATAAGTTACTTTTATCAAAATGGAATTTTCAGACTATTATAAAGGTGCTTATTGCTTTAAGTTTATAGTAAGTATCTGTTTAAGCTTGTTTATCTATATATGTGTTTGTGTGGACTGTTAATACTTTTTCAAAAAGAAAATACATTTTCTAAAACAAATGCAAATAGATATGAGCAACCCTGTACATGCATGTATACCAATGTTCATAAATGCAAAGTAAAATGTATTACACATTCCCCTTTCAAAGAGCAATGACTATTACACATTGCAGTTCTGTACATATTACAAAGTACTGGAATCAGAACTTGTGCTATTACTGTTCCTTTCATAGTTACATAAGAAAACAATCTGTAATTACATTACACAATTACAATATGAAAAACAGTAAAAAACATATTGTGTTTATAACAGATTTTGATCATTATTCATTTAGTAAGTAAGTATGTGGAAAGACTGTTAGATCACTACATGAGTTTACATCATCAAGATTTGTTGGGTTTGCTTGGAGGTGGAGGTGTTGATGAACTCCCTGATGTAGATGGATGTTTTTTGGCATTGGCAGCAATCCAGGGATGTTCTAATATTCCATCCAGAGACAGTCTTTTGAATGGGTCATGTTGTAAAAGCTGAAAAATATGAAACTTTCATAATGACTGACTGACACATTGTACTAATGATTTTATTTTCATTCGATTTTAATGACTTAATTTGCAAATTCCTCAGGAATTAATCATGCTACTTTTGATCTTAAGAATAAAGATAATCTAAAAGTTACAACCTTATTCTAAATTGAAAATAAATCCATTCAACTCTAAAAGAATTTTTTCGGCGTAATTGAATAAAAAGTTATCATTTTGAAATCTAAATAATGAAAAATTATTTAATCGACTGAACATGATTTATTTTCCTTTCTGCTGTCAACACAGAGAAATGTGATTTATGCTGATCATTAACCTAATATCCCAAATGACATAAAACATAAACTTGGGGGTCCTGTGAATTATTATACAATGCTGAGTGGCAGTTTACAAACTGGAAAAGCATTTCAATCAAGATTTAGTAACAGACAACCAAAAAATGGTAATTCCTGACAAAAGGGAGTTTAAATTGTCTAATCTCGGAAATTTTCAAAGTTCATTTTGATTGAATTAGTAATTGAAAGTTCAGACATTTATATTTTAGATCAGTCATGACCATGATGACTGGCATATATGATTGTTTCTAGACCCTTGAAAGCAGCTTTTATTTATTCTTTCAATATCTTTTACATGATAAAAAAAAATCCTGTCATGTGTAGATAAATATTCTTGGCCTCCATTCCTATCCATGTTCAAATTTTCACTTTCAAACATTTATGGTGGTTGGGATCAATATATCATTATTTACACATCAGTACTTCATATCTAAGAAACAGGCAATATATTCCTAAGTTTTAAAATTCATTCATACATTTTTGTATTATTCAATATTATCAGACAATATGTGTTCTACAAGGATCACCAGTCCTTCACCTTTCATTTGATACCTTAATTATTAAAATACAAATGTACATTCTACATATATGTAGTTTGATATTAACACCTATTTTGTTTTAAAAAGGTACGACTTTCCAGTATGTTCTTTTTTGACCGGGCCCGATTTGGTGGTATAACATCTTACAAAGTCTATCCGAAACATTTTGCAAATAATTCCATTCAAACCGTTGCTATGGGGCTTCTTAAAACTTGCAGTGAGGTGGGTTTTTTTTTGCTCCATGTTGAAAGCCTCACTGCGACTTTTGAGATGAAGAACAGCAATAAAAGTGCTGTTCCTTTGCTTTTTGTGTGTTTTTTGCTATGCATGTATTGATTTTGTTTCATGGATGGATACCCCGTATACTTTGTTTTTCTATTATATAAAAATCAAAACAAAAAATACATGGTCTGCATAACTAAATACAAAAATTATTACCTTTCTGACTAAATCTTTAGCACCATCTGTACAGTATGAGGGGAAATGTAAATCCACTTTAGTAATGCGTCTGTAAGTCTCAGTATTTGTCTCTGCTTCAAATGGTGGGTTTCCCACCAAAAATTCATAACACAGAATTCCTAAACTCCACAAATCAACTTTTTCATCATGATGTCTTCCTTCAATCATTTCAGGTGGTAAGTAATCTAATGTTCCACATAGTGTTGTTCTCCTATTAGTAAAATGAAAAAAATAAGTGGCATTTTTTTTAAATACAAGATCCCTTACTACACTTGAGCCACAATACCCACCAGTCCTTGCTTTAAGAATAACCTGTGAAATGATTTTATATCTTCACAAATCAGCTGAAACATTCAGTGGGATCTCAAGTTGATTTGGTATTGACCTCCAAATCTTAGATTTCTAAAATCACTAATTTTTAACTATTTCAATGTTATGCATGATTTTTTTTATTAGTTGTCATTGACTTTGAACTAGCTGTCAGTAACTGCAAGTACTCTCAGATCTGTGTTTTTGTTGTTGTAGGGATGTATAAATACCCTGCCACGTCCAGTCTGTGTTTTTGTTAGATGTCTTTCTGCTATGTATCGATCTGAACTGTTTTTTCAAGTTTGTTCTTATGTTGTACTGTTACACCACTATCCCAGGTTAGGGGGAGGGTTTGGTGCCAACAAACTAGTTAAACCCCCCTACATTCTGTATGTGCCTGTCCCAAGTCAGGAGCCCTGTAATTCAGTGGTTGTCGTTTGTTGCTGTATATCATATTTGTTTTTCATTCATTGTTTTGTACATAAATTAGGCCATTAGTTTGAATTGTTTTATTTTTGTTATTTCTGGGCCTTTTATAGCCAAATATGTGGTATGGGTTTTGTTCATTGTTGAAGGCTGTAATGTGACCTAGAATTGTTTACTTCTATGTCATTTGGTCTCTGGTGAAAAGATGTCTCATTGGCAATCATAACACATCTTATTTTCATAAACACAGCGAAATCACTGATAGACATGTCCACCATCAAAAATTAATGTTGAAACAGAAAATTGGTAGCCTTGTATACTTCGCTTGGTGGTTCATTGGTAAACTGTCACTCTTCAATCTTAAATGGAACAGCTTTTTGAAATAAGTCATCATTATTTATTTAAATAAATTTACTCTTGTATATGAATGTGTGCATGTAATAATTTAACAATTACTGACTAAATAAAACTGAATATGTATTTATTGGTTTTTTATTATTTCAAGTATTTATATGTGCTGGATACATACCTTGATGATGGTGCATGTACAGACCATCCAAAATCTGCTATTTTCACATCTCCAGTTAATCCAACCAATAAATTCTCTGGTTTTATGTCTCTGTGTATTACTTTCTTATTGTGACAATACTTCAAGGCATTTGACAGCTGAGTCATATACTACAATGGAAAAACAATTTTAAGGCTGACTAAAAAGGTGTGGAACACCCACTAACAATATCTATGTCAAATTTCTTTCAAAAAGAAATTTTAAATCCATCTCGGTTTTTTTTTATAATAGTCATGATAGTCAAACATTTATTACAAAGATTCCAAATAAACTTTTAAAAAATTATTAAAACCAAGTTCCTAAGTAGGGAAGCGATCTGTTTATTTTCTTGGCTTCTGTCAAATACACTTTAGAAGTCATATTACAAACGGGATATCACATCCTAAATTAGGGTGATGTTGCATATTGAGCCCATAAAGGACTAGGCCCTGTAAGACCCTTTTTTGGCCCCAAAATATAGCCTTTTAACAAATTAGTTGAAATGTAAACTTTTAGCTATTTATTCGAAAGTAGAATACTTCTGTTCCATAAATGTGGGCTGTTTTTGACAATACAATGCACATGCATCAGGTTATAGCATCATAATTTTAATGCAATATTACTGAAATCTTCACAATTTTAGCATTTGTGCTAATTTTAAGACGTTTTTTTTTTTAATCTAATATGGAAGTGGTCGCATTTGTGTTCAGTCTAAATATTTGAATATACATTGTATTTGATGATAATACATAACATATATAAAAGTTGAGACTGAACACAAATGTGGGCAGTTACATTTTAGACAAAAACCATCTGAAAAGTGACGTTTTATGGCATATTTGATTGATTTTTCATATTTAAGCTTGAAATTGAGCGTCTTTAATGACCAAATCAGTTCAAATCTTTTACATAAACTAATTGATTTGACTGAAGTAGACAATTAAGTGTTTAGAAAATGTCAAAAATCTTTCATTAGATGAACTTGGAATATTAGGTCAAAACAAGTCCATCAGAACAAGAGAAGATCCATGTAAACTAATTGTTCCTTTGAATAAACTTATTCTTAAAGGTTATTAATTTAACAATGCAGTAAAATCTCTGAATATTGTTTTATCAGTGTTATCATTGGGGTTTTTAATAAATTAAAACCTTTGTATTGCTATACATTTATGAAAACTTGTGCTCCTACATCCTGCTGATATTTTATTTTGGTAGAGCACAAGGTCATGGTTTTCTATATTTTGGTATAGCACAAGGTCATGGTTTTCTATATTTTGGTATAGCACAATGTCATGCTTTTCTAAAGACTTCTTATTACATCTTTACACTAAATCTGTTGGATGTATACAGATGTATATAACAAGATTTATTTAATAGTTGTAATTGGCTTTGAACTAGCTTTCAGTAACTGTTAGTAATCTTTGATTGGTACTTTGTGTCTTTTGTGTATTTGTGAGTTGACATTTTTATATATTTTTCTTTGTTGTGCAGTTACACCAATGTTCCAGGTGAAGGGATGGGTTGAGTGCTCACAAATATGTTTAACCCCACAGCATTCTTTATGTGCCTGTCCCAAGTTAGGAGCCTGTAATTCAGTGGTTGTCGTTGTTGCTGTATGTCATATCTGTTGTTTTGTTTAATCTTTTAGCATAAATCAGGCTGTAGGTTCCTCGTTTGAATTGTTTCACATTTTTTCATACATGGGCATTTTATAGCGGACTATGCAGTATGATTTTTGCCCATTGTTGAAGGTCTATAGTTCCAAACATCTATGTCAATTGGACTCTGATGGATAGTTGTCTCATTGGCAATCATACAACATCTCCTTATTTTTATAAAAGGCGTGCTCCTTTATCCACTGGATCAAAATTTCACTACAAACCTAAACACTGTTGATTAATAGTGTTGCTTTGTATTTTTTATATGAAGATATAAATACACAAATCAGAGAGTATCTGCATACAAAAAATATTAAACATTATACATAAACAACAATGGCATAGCTTTTCAATTTAAATCTGGTGTAAGGAAAGGATAAATTACAATATATCTTTATCTAACATAACCCTCATATAGAGTAGAATGTGTTGGAACATTTGACTTACTGTAGCACAGGTACTTTCTGAAAATCTGTTTTGTCTTTTCAACTCTTTGTACAATTCACCTCTTGGTGCATATTCCAAGATCAAATATACACGTGTTTTATCATGAAAATAACCAAACAATCGCAGTATATTGGGATGTCTACAAGATAAGTTACAGAAAGAAATATCAGTTAATATCTTTGTTGAAACAACTACAATAACTATTCTGAAATTTTGAATGTGGAAAAATTTCCAAATTTCTAAACAGCACATGCACACATCCATCTTCATCTTCATAAATTTCAAACTTTCAAATTGCAGAGATAATTAAGATGACACCTATGAAAACCCATTCATGTACCTCATCCAACAGCAAAATTATTTTCAAAATATGCTTTTGTTATGCAACTGACAATTTTCATCGTTAATATTTCTGAATTTTCAGTAGAATGAAATCACTATTATCCATCTTAAAAAATGATCACATTTATTTCTCAGAGAAATCATGGTTATGTCGAAAATAAAACGTGTGTTTACTGTAACTCAATGACCCATATTTTGAGAGCCAACACTTTTTTTAACATACCTCAAATGAGCTTGTATTTCTATTTCTCTTCTTAACTGATGTTCTACACCTGCTTTTTGAAGCTGGGATTTAAACAGTACCTAAGAAAAGAAAAGTGAAAGAAAGTTATAACTTCCATAAATCACATAGTTGTTACAAAAACATTGGGTTATGCATATGTAATAACCACAGATTTGCCCTTGTCATATTTCTGCCTGGGGCAAATAATCCACCTTTACCTAAGGCCAATATGGACATCCCATGCAATTTCAGTGCAAAATCTATATGGCCCCTCTTCCTGTCTGCAGCATGCGGAGAGTCATGTCCAATCTGCAAGATTTACTTGATATGAAATAAACCTTGCTTTTTATAAAACTGTTTGAACTGTCAAGCTTTCAAACAAAATAAGCTCATATTTAATTTTAAATTGATGTCCTATATTAAATGTTGTTACATCATACATGTACTAGAAACAAAACGTTGGAGAACAACAATTGTACAAAAACAAATGAAAAGCAAACAAATATTAAATAAACCATTACATGATAACATATCAACTCTACTATCATACCTCATCCCATATAAGAGACATTGGGCCTAAATGCCTTGGTCCCATATAGAAAATACCATGTAATAATCTATAAATATTACACTTTATATTGATTTGAAGAATGTTGACATGTGTTTATTTTCTAATTACAGCAAGATACATACATGTATAATACTTATCATTTAATACCTACTTTTAAAGCAACAATATACTTTGTAGATTTTTCTCTTGCCAAATAAACATTTCCAAACTTTCCTTTGCCAAGAGGTTTACCAATATCAAAATCATCCAGTGACCATTTTTTCCTGCAAAATACAAACATTGTATGATACAAAATTTCTTATTGTTTTCTCTCTTGTCGTAAAATGAATGCCTACATGAATACTTCGCTTACAATCAAGTAGAACTGTGAGCTTTTGCTCACTAATGAAACCCCTGCTTTAAGTTTGTAGTTAGGAGGTTGAAGAGAAATGAATCTTAAAAAGGAATACCTGGCACAACGTAAAGCATGTTCACATGAAGCCTGATAAATGATTAATTATGGAAGCTTCTAATCATTGCTGTATTTTTCAGTCTTTCAATTTAAAACTTAACATTAAACCGTGTGATATTTTTCTTCAATGGGTTGGGCATGTGACTTCACAAATGTTCAGCTGTCGTATTTTCTGGCACACGAAATGCAACCATATAAAATTAGAGGCAGCAAGAGGGTCAAGTTTGACACCACATTATCAACTGATAAAGTAATTTATAAACAAGGCAAACATTGTAGGTGCCAAATCTGCATTATATTTTGAATAATTTTCATTGTTCAATCATTATAATTGTTCATAATGTTTAGAGCTTACAGACTGTTATATTATTACCAAAACATTGAAAATTCTGATGTTTGTTTTTTTTTCCACCATCATTATTATGTGTCACGCTTCATTTTATAATAATGTGATAAAACATAGAAATAATATCAAGAATTATGCTTAAAATATGAAATAAGATAAAAAAATATGCTTAAAAAAGGCCTCAAGTTTATCTTAAAAATATTGAAATTTGTTTTCAGAGGATTGGCTAACAGCCCACTAATGTTTAATTTGTTGAAATGCTTTATATTGCCTAATTTTATAGGTACATTTCTATAGGAAGGGATTTATCAGAATTGTTATTTTTGGCATTCATTTCACTGTGTACAAGTGCCCTATAAATCTGAATGATTGCGCTAAAGTGCCATTTGAGTCAACTAGCACCCTTTTGCCTTGAGATTTAAGCTGGAATACTGTACAAACAATATAGATAGGCTGAGTTAAACCTGTATACATTATACTTAAATTTGGTTGGACATTATCCTGGAGGTTAGGAACACCCATTTGTGCATGTTGTGTTGATAATTATATTAACCAATCATAGGGAAGCTACAAAGTCGTTTATAGTTGACCTATTTGTATTTAGATTATATTGCCGCTGTTATTTCTTGCAGGAGGAAAAAAGAAAGAAAGAAAAACACTTCTTTTGAATGTTCATCAACATCAGGACAACGAACGTGCACATTTCTTTCATTTTTATCGACTGTTTACAAGTCATTATTTTGGACAACTACTTATACCAGAAGTTATCATCGTTGCCTCATTCTAGACGATTATGAGAACGTAGGGTAGCGGAATCTGCCGAGGTTTGACGATTGTACTTATTCCGTCAACACTTCACAGCATTATAATGTATGAACAATTTATCAGGAACGTACACAAAATCGAGAATGAATTTTCTTATACCTGTTTATATATCCTGTAAACAGTCAAGGGTCTAACTTAAATAGGTTATTAGAGAAAAATAACATACATTTGTTATTGAGGGCTAAAAAATCAAAAATCTGTGATAACATATGTATGTCACATGTTTCAAAGGGGCATTATACATCCTTTATTTTGTTAAATTGTGTACTAGTTCTATTGATATTATAATTGTCTTTAAATATATTAAACTTTAGAAAGATATAACAGCCCATAGTTTGCCAATCATGCATAACACACCCATGTTATTACAGAAAAAATATGCCTGTAATAACTAAAGGGTGTTATTACAGCTTCTCTACATCTCTTCAAAGCCTTTTCTCCTACATATATCATAATGTATTTTAATTTATTGTAATAACTAATGATAAGAGCATGTAATGAGGTTCTGCGCAAGCTTCCTAGTCAATCCCAAGTGTCTCATGTAATAAGTTAAATGCCTGTAATAACTAAGCCTTGTTATTACAGCTAAGTTATCACTTAAAAGCCTTGTCTCATTGATTTACCATGGTTGATCAAAAATGTATTAATTGAATTGGAAAATTAGTTTTCAAGGTTATGTATTAAGTTACTGCGCAAGTTTCAAGAATTCCCAAGTGCCCACTGAAAATAAAAATGTTTATGGTACATTTAACTGATAACAAACATATGTTACTACAGATTAAGAGAAATTATCCGTAATAACACATGTATGTTATTTTTCTCTAATAACTTATTCAAGTTACACCCTTGACTGGTAAAAATATGTAGTTCTTGTAAACAAATAATATACGTCTTTTGCCAAATAATAAAGTATGATAAGTCCTGTAAGTCCACGAGGACCTCATTAGGGGATGTGTACAATTGTGATTTGACTGTTTGACAGTTTTTCGTTTGTGATTCTTGACCATAAAATTGAAAGTCAAACATCACAATTGTTTTAAGATTGTGTATGTTACTGCCAATTTAGGGATATATGTAGAAAATTCTTTCTAGAATATTCTTAACTCGGTGTTGATTACTCGTCTATAACTTGGAATTTCGATCAGTACCAAAAAACATGTAAATAAATTTTTATCACAAAATGGTAACACATGTGATGATGGAACTATTTTTATGTGAACATACACTACTGTTGACACGGTCTGGTGCTGTCAACAATCATGTATGTCTCATTGGCACTCATACCACATCTTCTTATATCTATATATGAAGCTTATCTGACATATGCCGATGGTACTTACAACTAGAAATATTTATTCCATTGGTTCATAAAATAAAATAAAAAACTTTATAGAATCTTGACTTTATTTTCAACTTTATTAATGTATCTAGAAGCAATGCACATATGTGATGGTGTCAATAATCACACATGTTATTGATAAAATAAAATTGTTTGTTGCCATATAAAAATAAGATGTGGTATGATTGCCAATATGACAACTCTCCACCAGAGACCAAATGATGTTGAAGTTAGCAATTATAGTTCACCTTACGGTTCAACAGGGAGCAAAAGCCCACACCGCATAGCAAGCTGCAAAGGGCCCCAAAATGATAAGTTTAAAATATTTAAATGAAAAAAACAACGGACTGATTTATGAACAAAGCTATAAACAAAAAAAATTATGATAAACAGCAACAAACGACAACCAGGACAGGCACATTTAGAAATTGACATTGAAGGTCAGTTGAGAACAAAACTTTACGACAAAAACGATGATTTCAACTTCCAAATTGTGAACTTTCCATTTCTATGTAGCAACATTCCAGCAGCACCTGCATACATGTATGAAGGCAATATCTCCCAGTTGATACGATATTCCAGAGCTTGCATTTCCTATCATGATTTTGATAGAGGGTTGCTGCTTACAAGGAAGCTATTAAAGCAAGAGTTCCAAAAGGTAAAGTTGAAGTCATTCCTTCAAATATTTTAAGGACACCCTCATGATTTGGTTGACCGTTGTGGAATATCTGTTTCACAGATGACAACGGTAATGTTCCAATTGTCGTAACCACAATCCTGACCCCTTTTTTCGTACATGTGACCTACTGAATTAGACTTATTACCGGGTTTGTACTTACATGAGCAACACAACGGATGCCACGTGGAGCAGTATCTGCTTACCTTTTTGAAGCACGAGAGATCACCCCTGGTTTTTGCTTGATTCGTGTTGCTCAGTCTTTAGTTTTCTATGTTGTGTTATGTAGACTGTCGTTTTGTCTTTTGAACGTTTTTCGTTTTTTTGCTATGGCATTGTCAGTTCGTTTTCGACTTATGAGTTTGACTCTCACCTTGGTATCTTCCGCCTCTCTTATACTGATCAAACGTTCACTACAAGATTAGGTTTGTCAAGGTTCTTACTTACACTGTTGACAATAATGAAAGTACATTAGTTCATAGCAGGAAAATGCTCCTCCAATTACCACATTCTTACATCATGTACATTGTGTTTCATTTGCATTGATTTGTCCTGTTTTTGTATAATTCATCAAATTTCATAATGGGGCCTCTTATAATACTGCAGAATGGAAGTGGAACATCATAAATATTGTCTCACTGTGATAATACATACTAGATTAAAATAAATATGCATTTAATATTGATTTGAAACTATAAATCGTAGGATAAATATCCAAACTTAATTAATTAGCATTTACGATTAAATTAAATCAAGAAAATCAAAAGATAGATATAAATTTTGTAAAAAGTCACATATGTTATATAAGATGTCAAAATGCCAAGTCACATATGTTGGAAAAAATATAGCTTTTCTTCCTTTTTCCTTCATAATTTCATTAAACCTGTGTTACAAATATAATTTCCATTACATTTGTAAAATATAAATTGTCACTTTATGGCAATACTTTTGGGAGGATTTTTCAACAAATAATAAATCAATTGCCAAAATATCGGTCACATACATTGTATGGCTATGCTATAACATAGAAGTAAAAAAAAATCATTGCACCATATTCATTTGGTTAATTGTTTCAATTTAAATATAATTTAATGACACCTACTTTTGTTTCTTAGCATTGTATGCATGTTGACACTGCATTCAAAGTGAAGAAGATTTCATAACTAATATTTATTGAAATGAATATTTGACATGTCACATATGTTAAAAATGTTTATTGGTAAAAGAAGGCGTCCAGAATCAATTTTATGATGGTCAACCTATCTTCTGTTGTTTTTCTGTGGATGCTTTGGTATATCATCTTTCTGAATCATATTTTTTTTCAACCTGTGTCACTTTCTAAAATATAACTATGATGTCCCATTTTATATCATGGCTTAATGGACAGACCCATGTGTGTGAATAATATTTGTCATGTAATGTTTGCATTTACAATTAGGTGTTCCTCCCGGATAACGTCCAATCTAATTTAAGTATAATGTACAAATGTATACAGGTTTAACACCGCCAATCTATTTTGTTTGCAGATGTCAATCTTAATCACAATGCTTATGCAAACGTTTATTGAAACAAAGCAAGCATGCCAACTAAAGCCTTACCCTACAAGCATTTGGAAATTAGCTCTTACTAATCCTAAATCTTGCATAGATTATTTTATTACTATGCACTAAATAAAACAAAATAACCCAATTTACATGTATGGTGTGTCGATCATGGATGTCTGCGAAAGTGCTTTGGTGACTATTAATATCTCACAGAAACTGTTATCTGCTTTTGCTACAGTATTCTTCCAAGTTCCAGGACATTTCAAACATTGAGTGTCAAGTTTGGTGCTTAAGAAAATAAACAAATTTAGTAAATATATACCTTTCTCTTGACAGACCCTGAGGTTCTAAATCAGACATTTGGCTGGGAGTCTTAATCATTTGTGTAGCACATCTTTGATCTGTAGCATTAGTATTTACTTCTTTTAGCACTCTTTTGGCTTGAGCATCCATAATAAAACCTTTAAATCATTAATCTGAAAAAGAATTAACAATAATTATTAGGTTTTTTTTATAGATCTTACTTCACTACCCATAACCAGATCGGCTGAATTTTCTAATCTGTCAGTAAAATGTAATCCTCATCAACATCAGTTACATTATCTCTTATTCATAAAAAAGCTTCTGCCAAAGTTTCAAAAAATTCTATGAAGCTTTGACAAAGTAATTGATGTGCAACAAACTTTAATCCCAGACTATATTTATGTTAACTGTAAAAAAAACTAAGTCCATTTATCAGTTTAATACAGAAAAATGAAAATAAATATTTTCAAAATATCAATCTGTATACGGTTTTTGGTAATTAACAAGCTTCTGTCCAAATTTCATGAAGGCTTGACAAAGTTATTGATGACAGAAAAACTTTAACCCTATTACTTCCGGACGTTGATATAGTGATTGCCTATATAACTTTACTCGACTGCAGGTCATCGATATATTGATAACTTCTGGTAGGTTCATTCAGTGCCAGTCGTCATTATATTGACTTTCTATATAAGGTAAAGGTTTCGGATTCTAGCCAATCAAATCACAGATATTTTTAATTTAAGTCAATAATAGGTCAGAAGAAGTATTTCCCTGTGGAAAGATGTTTACATTGGTTGCTTCCTGCATTCCATTCTAAAATTATTTCGATGCCAAAGTTGACCCCCTTAGTTTGTTCACATTTGAGTTTGAAACAATTGAAGTGGTTGAAGAAGTAGCGTACGGGTATGCCTTTTTATAGCAAGAAGACCCTAACAATCATGATTTTGTTAGAGAAATATTTTTAAATGATGATTCTGACAAAGAATTTTTAAGTTTTGATGAGGATGATCTAGAAAATGACAAAAAAATAGCTCCATTTGAGGACAAACGGAAACCTGGATTAACATGGTCTCGCTTTTAATGCTGTAAAGAAGTTAAACTCTGCTGTTGGAGAAAATCCACTGATGATAGATTTCTTTCGTTTAATTATTAAGGTTTCATAAAAAAATTAGTTGAAGGAACAAACTGATACACACTAGATATAGACTTTAGTGTTTCCTACAGGAGATTTTGGCGTGGTATGGCGCCCTGCTGTATTTTCTTGACGCCCTGCCCTTTTTCTGTCATATTTTATAACGTCCTGCCGTAATTTAATATCGGTTCTGCAATATATCTTTTAGTAAGACCATTTGGAGTTATTTCCCTTAGGACGAAATAAAAAAATGGCCTACATTTATTGAATTTCGTATTTATGTTTGAAGAGTTTTGAAGGGACAGAGTACAAATACGGTTCATGATTGAATCTAATAAGGACAACATCAATTTGTACAGCTACGAATTCAAAAGGGAACCCGCTGATTGTTTGAGTTATAATTTTACGATGCATGGGATGAACATTATCTCTGATTTTGTAAACAATCAGCTGTTTGTTTATATATTCTATTTGTACAAAAAACCAACAAGGTTTCAATAAAAAAAAAACAAACAAGAATCTAGGATCACTTGGTCTAGCTTTTGTGACATAAATGTTGCAGCATAACATTATAAGGATGTTTGCTCCTCGTGTTTTTGAATTTTTGCCAGATATTAGGAATCCTCTGGTTTTATCCATGTGGTGCCATTCAAAATTTTTCTTTTCATAATTTATTACATATAGTTTAATAGCCATTTTTGAAAATCTTCATAAAAATCTTATTTTTTCATAGTTTTTGAAAGAAAAAATGTGCTGATGTTAAATGTATGAAAAGTCTAGAGAGAATCACTTGTCTTCATGCCAGATTTTCAATTGCTTAGATCTCAAAAACAAGCACAAAGACCCTTCAATTTTTTCTGCTTTTTAAGTTCCTTTATTCACATACTTTCAATTTATAACAGTATTTTAAAAAGCTTGTTATTTTGAAACAGAGTAGCAAACATCCTTAAGCAAATGTATACAGTGGCGGATCCCGTGGACCCCCCCCCTTTTTTTTGACGATCAATGCATTTGAATAGGGACATATAGTTGGAACCCCCCTTTTATAAATGGCTGGATCCACCCCTTGTATAGATCTGATTTACCGAAAGTGATGATTTATAAAACAAACTAAAGGGCCTGGGGCACTCACTGAGGTCTATTTCCATCTTCAACAATGGACCCTCTCCATCATTATCTGATTATGGAAAAAAAGACCATTATATATATTTTTTTTGTGGTTTGTATTAGTCCCGAGATTACTCTGACGTCCAACGGCTGTTTTGCCAGACAAGCTGGGGCCGTGGGACGTCAGAGCTCGTCCCATATCAAAAAGTGGATATTTGCCTGTCCAAAATAGATACGCTGCTTCGTCGCTTCTGGTGCCAACGGACGGCCTTGGAATTATATAAATCGGGTATCAATTTGTTCATTTTTCATTTATCTCTTCATTTATGTAAGTTTCACCTACCTGCCACCCTTTATTTTCTCATATTTAGACAGTTTTCACAGTGACCCACCGATTCTGGCATTTTGAAAGATTGTCATGTGATCACGAGAAAAAAGTAAGGCACAATGGACTATGGGAAATGATGTATGCATATTACCCTAGGTCAATATGAATATATAATCTAACACCTCGCTCATTTACGGTGCAAGCAATGTAAATATCCGAGAGCTTCCGAATGTTATCGTGGTTGGCACTAAATGCTTAATACCGATCTCCTGTAAAGGAGGTGATAAATCGTGGTTGGCTACTAAATGTTAAATATCGATCACCTATAAAGGAGGTGAAAAAAGTATAAATATTTGCATATTTGAGTCTCAAGGTCGCAAAATCTCTCGTAACTTGACGTCCATTTGAAAAATAAAAGTAAAAATGTCTGAATCGATGGGTCACTGTGAAAACTGTCTAAATATGAGAAAATAAAGGGTGGCAGGTAGGTGAAACTTACATAAATGAAGAGATAAATGAAAAATGAACAAATTGATACCCGATTTATATAATTCCAAGGCCGTGCGTTGGCACCAGTGATGAAGCAGCGCATCTATTTTGGACGGGCAAATATCCACTTTTTGATATGGGACGAGCTCTGACGTCCCACGGCCCCAGCTTGTCTGTCAAAACAGCCGTTGGACGTCAGAGTAATCTCGGACTAGGTTTGTATATGTATGAAATTGATGGTTTAATCTTGTTCTACTGTCTGTTGCCAGTGTTGGTAATAGTAGTTCGGATGGTGCGGCAATAAAGGCCGTGAATAATTTTATAAAATACTATTAGTCGTGTTTTAAGAAGCAAAATTTCATCTTAGTGTAGGTAGAACTTTGTAAGTTGTTCATCGGTGCCAGTGGCAGTGGATAGATCTCTGATAAAAAAAAACTTGTTCACGTATATTTCCCCCTATCTATATATAATAGGGATCATTCGTAATATTTCTTCCTGTAGACGTCGCTGGTGTTCCATAAGTGGTTGTCGGAAACGTTTTAATCAATTTGACGCTTGAATCGCATTACGTTGCACATGTCTACATTAGTAACCACAATCGACACTCGCTAATTTCACCAAACTAAGCTCCAAAATTGTTGTGTCCCCGGCTGCAATTATTCTGAAGGGGGACCACAGATTCCCAAAAGACCATGAAATTCTTTTAAAATGGAGAGGAGGCATCAAGAGAGTTGATCCACCCATCAAAAATATCTAGGGAAACCCGGCGGAAAATATTCGACCAAGTTTGCCATAACCAGCTGATAACCATGTCATGCCAGGAGATTATATATAACAACAGGATTAGGTTATTATGTATTTATATTTTTCTTATATTTAGTACAGTATTTAACCTCTTTGTTTTATTTTTTCTCGATTAAACAGCCCAATAATTTGACAGGTTATTATTTATTAAAATAGGGGGATGACACAGGGATGTATTTTATTCTTCAAATATACCCTCACACTTTGTAAGTTTTTTCCTAGTCTTCACATTTTTTCACCCTTTTACCTTTGTTTGCATTGTAAATAAAAAATAATAATTATGTTGTGCACTTAATTATAGCAAGTGAAATATATTTCCCTGACAAAACAATGCATGAAAGGAAGAGAACTACATGTATTGGGAAATATGATAATCCCTATATTGCATTCTAAAAAAAAACCATGGTACATATGAGCATAATTTTTCTATTTGTTTGTCGCAATAAAGTCTGAATTTTCTAAGGACTTTACATTAAACTTATGGCAAAAGCTGTCAGAACAATTTTTTTTAATTCTTCAAAGTTGGAAATCAAGAGTATTTTTGTTAGAAAAAAACATCACACACACACCCCTGCATTAAACGCTTGTCCTTTATGAATGATAAGAAAAATTTCTGAACCTGCAGTTTATTAAATAACATGATGCTTTGTGTTTTCCTGTTTTAATATTTCAGAAGCCATCATGGATAACAGACTTTTTACCCAACCATGAAGTGATGAATGGGATACATCTTTATGTTTGAAATGAGTTCATGGTTAAAATCCAAGTGGCTGCAAGTGCGGGGATCAATACTTCTGTCAGAACCAGATGTAAAAAAAATTTGACAAAGGTGACAACAATTGGCAAATAGTGGAATTATGGAACAGGATTTATTTACTAGCCAAGACAGTTCCTTATATTAACACACAAACTTTTCTGAAAGGGAAATTCCAACTAGATCAGAAGAAAGTAGTTTGTGATAGAAAAGTGTCGTCCAACCGAATTCACATTAAAAGAGTCCTTGTATTGTCTAAAAGTTACACAAGGGTAAAACTTAATGCCCCTCCTCCGCTGTGGCAGGGGAATAAACAATCTGAAACATGTAATTCCACGTGGAAACTTCTAATTAAACTTGGTTCCAGAATTATCTGTGTTTGCTGTGTTCTTTCTAATTTCATAAAAATACATTGTAAATAAATATGCATAAAAGATGAAATGGATTTACATGCAATTGATTTTATTATTTGTTCTAATGTGGTGCTGTTTCACGACTGCTTTCCCAGTTAGCACAAAAAAAAATAGAAAAATGTTGAAAAAAAATTGTAGAAAAA